TAGTTTTCCTGACAAACAAGACTTGAAAGTAGAATTCAAGTTCTCGTTTGACAAGATAAGCATATTAAGAAACATATATAGAGGCATTTACAATAACGATGTTAACAGAATAGCTTATTGTTGCGAAGGAACAAAATTTAATTACAATAATATGATCAGAGACTTTAATAAAGTTGTTAAATACATCTACGACAATGAATATTGTAGAAGGTGTTTTGCACATAACACTAAATTTGTAGAATGTCCAGAATTTAAATTACCTGAATACAGAGATGATGATGATTAAAACCATAGTATAATTATAACATGTAAACATTTATATGTTATAATTATAGTGTAATTTTCCCGTATAAGCCGTGGGGGTGCTTTCCTACATAGGCCTTTCCCATCCGCATTTTGCCATCCATATTTTACTGGGATTATTTTCAAGATTTGGGTTAACGGTTTTAATTCTCCCTTTTCCATTGGTTAACCATTTTTCGGGGCGAACATAGCGTTCTTTTTTAGACTGTTCGTATTTGTTGGAAATGGGAAAGGGTCTCAGGTAGGATCAAGGGAGAAATTATTGAGATCTTGGGGTTGCGATCTTGGGAATGAAAAAATGTTGGTATGTAGCTTGGATTTTTTTGGTGGGATTTGTTGAGGTGGTATGTAGTTATGATTGTTGTTATTGAATGAGTGTAAGGGTGATGTTGAGATGGGGTAAGAAATGAAGATGGGTTTGTGAATATGTGTTTTTTGGTGTTGGATTGGGTGGGTGATTGAATTTGAATGTTGAAAATGGGCTGTTTTAGTGGGTGTATTTGAATTGTGCCCAAAAGTGTAGGGGGGGGGTATGGGAAAAAATGCCATCTGACGGACGGGAGAGGCCGGGTCTAAAACTCCCCCCCCCCCCCCCCCCAAGAAAAAAAAACAGAAGTGGATTGGCGCATTCCCGATTCTCGCTCGCGAACGCCGCACCGGAGAATCAAGAATGCGCCCATCCAGCTGAAGGGGTCTCCCCCCCCCCCCCACAGAAAAAAAAAGTGGATTGGCGCCATCCAACTGAGGGGGTCTCCCCCCCCCAAGAAAAAACAAAGAAGTGGATTGGCGCATTCCCGATTCTCGCTCGCGAACGCCGCACCGGAGAATCAAGAATGCGCCCATCCAGCTGAAAGGGTCCCCCCCCCCACAGGAAAAAAAAAGAGTGGATTGGCGCATTCCCGATTCTCGCTCGCGAACGCCGCACGGAGAATCAAGAATGCGCCCATCCAACTGAGGGGGTCTCCCCCCCCCCCCAAGAAAAAAAAGAAGAAGTGGATTGGCGCATTCCCGATTCTCGCTCGCGAACGCCGCACCGGAGAATCAAGAATGTGCCCATCCAGCTGAAAAGGTCCCCCCCCCCACAGGAAAAAATGGATTGGCGCATTCCCGATTCTCGCTCGCGAACGCCGCACCGGAGAATCAAGAATTCGTTCATTTAATTGAAGGGGTCGGCGGCACTGGGCGGCAGCCCTTAAATCCGGCCACCGGACGTGATCGGGCCGCAGGCCAAAGCCCGTTAGGGCTTACCTTCAGGTATAAGGCCGCGCGCCCCATGCCGCCGACCATGAGCGGACCATGACCAGAACATGCGCATACGTTTTATGCCGGGCCCTCCCTTATAAGGGGCGAAGGATTTGCGGATTTGTTTAAGCGATTTTTGAGGAGTTTTGTAGCATCTCCCTGCAGAGTCACAAAACGAGCGCTTCTTGGGGGGTGCCTAATACTGGACAACACCCCCAGCATTGCCAGCATCATTCCGGATGATGCAGATGATGCTATGCATGCTGGCGATGCGAAACAAGGGGTTGAGGGGAAATGCAAGGAAGCAGGAGTGACTGGAAGTGAACAAAATGAAAGTCAAAGGAATGGCACGAAAAATGGGGAGGGCACTGGAGAGAAACCGAGATGCAGGAAAATGCAAGGGCAGAACGTGAAGGGGACCGGACAGAATGCGAATAAAGGAGTCTTCAAGGAAATGAAGGGAGCTGAAACGGCAGTGAAGTGGAAGTGAAGGGACATGCCAGGAAACTGTCAGGGCAGACATGCAAAGGAAAAGTTCATTCCAATCATCCCGAAAACTAGCAGGACTTGGAGGGAAAGGAAATCAAAGAACGGGAAGGGGTGCCCGGTGGCCGGCTGTGTCGCGTCAGCGTGTAAATCCGGCCACCGGACGTGATCGGGCCGCAGGCCAAAGCCCGTTAGGGCTTACCTTCAGGTATAAGGCCGCGCGCCCCATGCCGCCGACCATGCGCCGACCATGCTCCGACCATGCGGGTACGTTTTGGGCTGGGCCCTCCCTTATAAGGGGCGAAGGATTTGCGGATTGGTTTAGGCGATTTTCGAGGATTTTTGTAGCACCTCCCCGCAGCGCCCAAAAACGAGCATTTTTAGGGGGTGCCTAGTACTGGACAACACCCCCAGCATTGCCAGCACCATCCCGGATGATGCGGATGATGTTATGCATGCTGGCGATGCGGGTGATGCTGGGGATCTTAAAATATAAAATATGAAAACTTGAAATTTTGAAGTCTTGACATCTTAAGATCTTAAAATCTTAAATTCCGAAAGTCGCCAAATCTGAAAATCTCACCAAAAATAAAATCTTAAAGCCTTCGAAATCTGATAATGGAAAATCTGGGCTGTTATAACCTTCAAAAACCTTAAATCTTCGAATCTTAGAACCTTAATTCTTAAACCATTGAAACCTTCAATTCCGAAAGTCTTCAAATCTGAGACCCTTAGAATCTCAAAGTTTTTAGAATTTTGAAATCTTAACATCTACTCATCGGACTTACAGGAAAGGGAAGTGACAGAAACCCTCATGTCTTTGAATCTTCAGATGTTAAAATCTTAAAATATGAAACTCCTAAATTCTCAAAATCTTAAAATCTCAGAATCTTAAAAGCTTCAAAAACTTAAATTCTTTAAATCTCGAACTATTGCAATCTGAAAATCTTAAATTCATAAACAAGTAAAATATAATAAAATTCCTTCAATCCGGGCTATATTCTAAATTCCTTAAACTCTTAATCTTGAAATTTTGAAGTCTTGACATCTTAAGATCTTAAAATCTTACATTCCGAAAGTCGCCAAATCTGAAAATCTCACCAAAAATAAAATCTTAAAGCCTTCGAAATCTGATAATGGATGGAAAATGGCTGGGCAATGGCCTGGCTGTTATAACTTTCAAACACCTTAAGTCTTTGAATCTTAAAACCTTAATTCTTAAACCATTGAAGCCTTAAATTCCAAAAGTCTTCAAATCTGAGACCCTTAGAATCTCAAAGTGTTTAGAATTTTTAAATCTTAACATCTACTCATCGGACTTACCGGAAAGGGAAGTGACAGAACGGGCAAGGCAAGGTGCCCGGTGGCCGGCTGTGTCGCGTCAGCGTGTAAATCCGGCCACCGGACGTGATCGGGCCGCAGGCCAAAGCCCGGTAGGGCTTACCTTCAGGTATAAGGCCGCGCGCCCCATGCCGCCGACCATGAGCGGACCACGCTCCGACCATGCGGGTACGTTTTGGGCTGGGCCCACCCTTATAAGGAGCGAAGGATTCGCGGATTGGTTTAGGCGATTTTCGAGGATTTTTGTAGCACCTCCCCGCAGCGCCCAAAAACGAGCATTTTTAGGGGGTGCCTAGTACTGGACAACACCCCCAGCATTGCCAGCACCATCCCGGATGATGCGGATGATGTTATGCATGCTGGCGATGCGGGTGATGCTGGGGATCTTAAAATATGAAATTCCGAAATTCTCAAACTCTTAAAATCTCAGAATCTTAAAAGCTTCAAAAACTTAAATTCTTTAAATCTCGAACTATTGCAATCTGAAAATCTTAAATCCATGAACAAATAAAATATAATAAAATTCCTTCAATCCGGGCTATATTCTAAATTCCTTAAACTCTTAATCTTGAAATTTTGAAGTCTTGACATCTTAAGATCTTAAAATCTTAAATTCCGAAAGTCGCCAAATCTGAAAATCTCACCAAAAATAAAATCTTAAAGCCTTCGAAATCTGATAATGGATGGAAAATGGCTGGGCAATGGCCTGGCTGTTATAACCTTCAAAAACCTTAAATCTTCGAATCTTAGAACCTTAATTCTTAAACCATTGAAACCTTCAATTCCGAAAGTCTTCAAATCTGAGACCCTTAGAATCTCAAAGTTTTTAGAATTTTGAAATCTTAACATCTACTCATCGGACTTACAGGAAAGGGAAGTGACAGAAACCCTCATGTCTTTGAATCTTCAGATATTAAAATCTTAAAATATGAAATTCCGAAATTCTCAAACTCTTAAAATCTCAGAATCTTAAAAGCTTCAAAAACTTAAATTCTTTAAATCTCGAACTATTGCAATCTGAAAATCTTAAATTCATAAACAAGTAAAATATAATAAAATTCCTTCGATCCGGGCTATATTCTAAATTCCTTAAACTCTTAATCTTGAAATTTTGAAGTCTTGACATCTTAAGATCTTAAAATCTTACATTCCGAAAGTCGCCGCCAAATCTGAAAATCTCACCAAAAATAAAATCTTAAAGCCTTCGAAATCTGATAATGGATGGAAAATGGCTGGGCAAAGGCCTGGCTGTTATAACTTTCAAACACCTTAAGTCTTTGAATCTTAAAACCTTAATTCTTAAACCATTGAAGCCTTAAATTCCAAAAGTCTTCAAATCTGAGACCCTTAGAATCTCAAAGTCTTTAGAATTTTTAAATCTTAACATCTACTCATCGGACTTACCGGAAAGGGAAGTGACAGAACGGGCAAGGCAAGGTGCCCGGTGGCCGGCTGTGTCGCGTCAGCGTGTAAATATATGGTAGACCCCCAAAACCCGCCTGAAGAAAAACCATCCAGGTGTCTCCAGCCTTTCGCTTTCAGAGCTTCAGAGAGCCGGTCCCGATCCGTGGCTTCGATCCGTTTGGCTTCGTTTCGGCCCAGTCGACTTTTAGCCATATACCCCATATCTATTTGAGCAAATCAGTGGCCCGATCCGGTTTCTGCGCCCGGCGGCTTCGGCGCTTTCGGCGGGCTTTCGGCGCCTGGCGCTTCTGGAGCCGCTCCGCCTCCCGCAGCTCCAGGGCCTGCAGCGCTTGCGCGCGGCGCTCCCGGAGCTCCGCCTGGAGCGGCATGGGGGGGGCGAGGGGTGGGGGGTGGGGGGTGGGGGCGGTGGGTTGAAACCAAAAGGAATATGCATTCTTGCAGTTGTTCGGTGATTGCTTAAAAAAAAAAAACAAAAGACATCTCTCCTTTGGATGTTTCCAATACCGGTTTGCCTGTGGTGGGGGTGCGTGGGGGGGTGGGGGGCGCGTCCTTTTTTAGGGGACCCCCCAACATGGGAGTTGCATGCGAGTTGGGCTTTCCTCTTGGTGTCCCTCAAGACCGGCTCCAAAAAGGGAAGACCAACTCCAAAAGGGAAATCCCTGCAACTATGAGGTGAGTTGCCCCGCTCCCTTGGAACGGATGCTTAAAAACCCTGCCTTTTGTGATTCACCTCCTTCTTGGGGGACTATGGCGTATGGCCTACTTGGATGTTCAACCAACGTCAGGTAGGCTACAACTCCATGTTTTTTTTGGGGCCGATCGTTCCAGATAGCCCAGCTACAACCATGGTAACCTACTTACTAAGCACTGGGTGTTCAAACCGAAGGATATCCTTCCTCCCAAAAGGAGGGGGTGGTGAACGCCTGGAGGATCAATTTCCTCCTCCTTTGAACCCTCTGAAAGGTGCCGACGTGGGAGGGTATCCCGATCGGAGCTGACGTGATGGTCTTGCCTTTCGAAGGGATCTGCGGTTGTTCTCTGTGGAAAGGAGAGTACGCAGGTTACTTCACCATAGAGGACGATCATTTCAGTTACCCCCTCCCCTCCCCTCTCTCCCCCTCTAGTAAGTAGGTTGGACTGGTTTTAATGGGGGAAGGGGGAGGGGGGAGGGGAGCGGGGGACCGGTCAACCACGATTTTCTGGAGGGTCCATATGCTGTCTATCACCTTAAGAGGGCAACGGGGAACGAAGTTCTAGAGGGTCCACATGGGTGTAGCTCAAAATTAAACCACCAGCAAACCGCAGGTTTTAGTCACGGGTTACCCATTTTTGACCCACAGCCACATGGCTGTGGGTCAAAACCAATGGTACCATTTTGGGATAGGTGAATTCACCACCCATTTTAGAACCTATGTCAGTGGTTGGATTGGTTGATGTTCACTGGGGGTACGATTTGGGTTTTGACCCATGGCCACATGTTTGTCAGGGCTCCCCCTATTTCCCATGAAAACATCACCCCCACCAAAAAATACTCACCTTTCATGGTTGCCAAAAAGACGATGTTTAAACCGTCGAAAAAAGGGAAATGGCAGTTGATCAATATTCCTGTTTCCGGAAAACGCCATCTTCGCGAGAAAAAAAGTTTCTTGCAAGGACCTTTTGATCAACCCCCAAATACCGGGACCCCCGTTGATCGCCAAGCCCCCCGAATGTCACCCGCCGCTGTCCAAGGCCGCCGTGCCCCGCCGCCTTGGCGCCAGCCGCGCGGAACTCGCCCCAGATCCGCGGGCTCCGCTTCTGCAGCGTCACGGCGACCTCGCTCCAAGTTGCGCATTGGGGCGCGAAGCCGAAAATCGAGTGTCCCAGTGTCAAAAGCAAAGCCCCCCTTCCAAAGGAAACTCCTCTTGGGGAACCCTGGCTCGAGGTTCCATGTTCCATGTTCCATTTGGGCTGCTCTTGTCATCATGATGCGCTGCTTACTTGCCTCTGCTTATTGTTTGAGGATCTTCTATGGGAAAGGCGTTTACAAAGCTTCCAGGGGTGACATGTTTGGGTGTGAGCCTAAGCATCCAGAGGATTTGTCTCTTCTTTTCCTTTTGCAGAGGCTCCCCAGTGAACATGAACTACCAAAAGTCTAGGGCTACCTTCCATTTCCATTCTGAATCCAGGGATCCGAATCTTTTCAGGAAATCATCAAAAACCCGGGGAAACAGCTGGTTGTTGAAAAGAACGATGGTTGAAAAGAATGGGGACGCAAGCCCTAGAAAACACGTTGGATCAAAACCCCATCAAAGGGAAGCTTATCACCACAATGTATCTGTAGAGTACCTGTTGCATCTTGGCCGGGGAAAACCGAAAGGACGCCCATCACCTTGAAGTATACCCAAGCGGCCCTGGGAAAACACAAGAGGAACCCATCTGAAACGAGAGGAACCCAGCTGATGAAGGACTCAACCACCTGCTGCAGTAGGTGCCCCTATGTGGCCTTACCCCTGAATTATACCACATACGTAGATACCCTAGTTTACAGTTGGGGAGCAGGGGGTCCCCAGCACGGAGTTGAGCCTTCATCTTTTTTTGAGGGGACCCCTTTGTTGGTTGTTTTGAAGGAAAGCCAAAAGGAGTACCATCTTTTTCTTGGGGCGGGGATTCGGGGATCGAGAAAAAGACATGCCCAGTTGGAGCCCTGAAATGGCCAAAGGATCCCTCCAAAAGCACAAGTTGAGCTCCTCCTGACCCCCACTCCCCGAAATACCCAAACTCCAAAACCCCCAACCAACACGAAAGCCAGCTGCTTTCTTACCCTTCCCAAACTGACAGGAACACTACGCTACCCGCCTGATCCGGGCTCACACGACATCGCGTCTTGGGATGCTCCGGGTCGATCTCATGGAGGAGGTCCACCTCGAAAATGCGAATGAAGAGACAACTCAGCGAGTCCGCAAGTGAGCAAGTCAGCAAGTCAGCAAGCAAAGCAAAGCAAAGCAAAGCAAAGCAAAGCAAAGCAAAAAGCAAAAAAAACAAAAAAAAACCAAGCAAGCAAAAAAGAAGAACAATGAGTAAGCACGCAGGTAGGTGGGTAGGTAGGCTGGCGCTCACAACCTGCTTGTAGGTCCCCGAAGCAGACGTCCGAAACCTCATTGATTCCTTACTGAGAACCAGCACGAATTCCCGGTGGATTTCAACACAAGGAATCACCCATGGGTTTTAGGAATGAACCAACCCTTCCCTGGACCCACGTCCAACCCCCAACCTCCCCCCGGATCCCATCCTGCAAAAAGGAAGCTGACTCATTCCGACGCATTCTCTATATCGGCAAGTCAACTCTGGGACACTTTCTGCTGTGCCCGTCGTGTTCGATTTCTCTCCCACAGTCAGATGGATGGCTCGTCTTTTTGCGGGTACCTCTTTTCAGGTCAGTTTCAATTGAAACCTGGAGGAAAACCGACGAGCCGTTTTGCGGGGTCCCAACGAGCCACCCGAATAACTTCCAGTGTAACAAGGGGAGGCTCATCCTATGGGACATCCAGGCGACCTTCAAGTGCTCCACGCACGGTTGGGCAATGAGTTGTGGCGGATCCTCCAGTGGATCATGGCCACTAAAACCTCTGCAGCACGAAATGGGTCTGTGTTTTGTTGAGCGTTGAAGGGAGACCAACAGAAAAAACAGCAGAATAAAACAACAAATTTGTTGAGGTCCCCCCCATTTTGACACAAATGGCTTCTTTCTGGGGGTGTTGGGAACTGTTGGTACTTGAAGCCTTCAATGGAAGGTTTCTCTCTGTCAATGTCAACGTGTCTGCAAACCAAAAGGCGAGACGACCTATGCGCCTAACTCCGATGCTTCCATAACGCGTGGGCAATTTAGCGTGGGCAATTTAAGATGAGGAATACTGTGATGGTTGCGCAATCCATTTCACGCACCACCTAAGCAACCCTGGAATGATTCGATTCCCCTGTAAATGCCAACAAACAATGGTTTCCTGGTTTCAAAGTGGTGCCGCCTATCCTGGCCGAGAACCCCCCGGTTTTTGCCCGCCAAAAGACAAACAACTGAAAGAAGTGGGTATTTGGAGCTGGCGGGGGGTTGCTCAAACTTGCAGATGGCTTTGGCTGGGGCACTTGGGAACCCCAAATTTCCAATGCAGCAACCACCCCCGGCCCGGCAGCAGCCTCGAAGAGCGAGGGAGGCAGGTTCACCTGTCGGACACAAGCCGCTGACCCCATGGTCGCTGTTCTTTTCTAGGTCCTCCAGTAGAGAGGTTAGAATACTCACTTCCCAAGTTGACTGGCCAAAAAAAGTTTGAACTTTTATTTACCACTAAAATGGTCTTTCCAAAAAGTTTAAAGTCCACCAACTCAGGAAGTGAGAATAAGGGCACCAACTTTTTTTCTGTTGTCTGCTTTGGCATGGGAACCCTCCCCGCCAAAAACGGGTGAGAAAGGGCACGATCCTGGGAAACCCAGTTTTGATCCTAAGCTGGCCGGAAGTCGAGATTTGACTTTTGCAAAACCCCAAGCGACGAGGAGCGTCCAAGCGAGTCGTCTGCAAGCAAGTTCTCTGCTGTGCAAGCCTCCGTCTGAAGCAATTTCGCAGGCCGGCAATGTGGCATTCCCCATCTCATTTCTATGGGAACTCCAACGAGGTTATCCGAGAAAGTGGCAGGCCTCCACCCAAACAAACACATTGTGAGTGGGGCATGAGACCTATCTAAACCAGTGGAATCCGGATCTATGTCTAACCAAACTAATCTAAAAAGGACACCTATGCACCAGTATGAACCTGGCCGCTTTTGGAGTTGCTGCGGCAAACTCTGGCAATATCAGGAGGATCAGTTCAATGCCTGCCTCACCAGAGGCGAGCGTCTGTGATGAGCCCTAAGGATTGATAGCACAACATGCACGTGACTGTGTAGGCCTGCAGGATGGCTTTCCGTTTCGATTCTCGAACGGCAACTCCCAAAGGGCATCCTTGGGGGAAAAAAAACAAACAAAAAGCAGAGCTGCGTCGTTTTATGACTGGGGAAACATGCGTCATGCTGTCACAATAAAAGTTACTCCCCTTCAAATGGACATGGAACCTCGAAATGGGACCCGCCCCCCCAACAGCAGACTCCTCTGAGCAGGATGGTGTCAATTGGCTGCATGGAAACGCGATCCGTTTGCGACCCCTTTGCGATGCAACTTGGGTAAAAAAAACAAAACAAAAACTAGTCTTTCTTTTTGTATATATATATATACATATATATATATATAAGAAAACAACAAACACAGTAAGACAGCACTTGCCGTTGCGTGGTTCAACCCAACACCAAAACCCCAAACCCAGCCATCTGCGCTTCGGAACCTTCACGTAAACGTCGCAGATGGCCACGGACAAGTTCTTCGCCTTGACGCCTGGCACGAAAAGACGCGGAGCCTGCTTCCATTTGGCTAAGCCCCCGTTTCTCTGATTTTTAGATATATATATATATATAAACACATCCAGCAGTAATAAATTCCTCATTTGGTCAAGCCCCCTGGAAAAGATGAGACAATATGTCCAGTAGTGAAAAAATCCTTTTAAAACCAACAAGGGTTGCTAAAAATAGTTTTAAGCAATTGGAAGCCTCCATTTTGGGGCGGACGAACACCAATGTACCGCCTATTTTGATGTTCACCATTACAGGGTTTTGGCCCACAGCAAGCTGGGTTGGATTCAAAGCCGAGTAAAGAGGCTGAAATGACTGGCATGCAGCGGGAAAACTTCCAGAACGGGAAACAGCGTCGTGAATCAATTCAGAGTGATTCACCCATCCCAGCCAGTCACACATTTCTACGTTGCCCTTCCCGCCAAGCAACTGGTCTTGTCCAGCCACATGATGTACAACCGGCTTGATTTTGGGACAGCCTCAGGATAAAGCACACCCATCTTTACCGCATAACTCAACGGTTCGGCTGATTTACAGGCCTTCTGCAAAACGGAACGCCTAATGTTAATCCCGGATTAATAAACCCCTGTTTATCAATGCGGGGGTTGTCCCTGGTTTTAGTGGGGATTTATCACTTTTGGAGGGGAACATATCAATAAACAGGAGTTTATTAATCCGGGGTCAGCATTACACCTTTGGAGAACATCTTCCAGGACAGCCGGGATTCACTCGGAATCAACGGCATCATGATAACCTGCCCATAGCTCTACTATCGCCGTGCGGCAGGCCCTAGGCATTCCAAACTGATCCGGTGCTAAAAGTGGCTAGCTTTGAGTGGGTTAAATGGAAACCCCCACTAATCTCTCTCTCTCGCTCTCTCTCACGAAGCCAACTAAACACCTAAGGAAACCCCCACTAAACCAACAAAAAAACCTAAAACCCCAAGTTGAACCGGAAAGGCCGGGAACAACAGACTTCGGAGGATCCATGGAACCCTGGCGAGGGCAAGCGCTTCCGTGTTCCTCTTCAACGTCCCGCCTCTCGCCGAGAGCACAAACACGATGGAGTTCTCATCCTGGCCAAAGGGCAGTACCCAGAAGATTCAGTCCGGGTCATTTCCTCATTGTCCGCTCACCAGAAAGAACCGTGCACAAATATGGAAAGCTCCTTTGCAAGCTCTTGTTGCTCCAGGCGACGATTTTGCATGTTCTTGAGCGTGGGCCTTCATTTCTTGCTTTTGACCCATAATCTGTCCTGTGTTCCCCCTTCAAGCGAGGTGTCCCCTCATTTTGTTGAAATGCCGATAGCCGGCCAATATCTGGGGTCTGAAGCAGACGCAAGCGCACGCGACACTCGCGCCTCACGCCAATCGAAGGGGATCCTCGGCGAAGCAGAACCCACTAAACGCGACGCATCTTTTGGCAAGAGTTTCCTCAAGGGAACCCAGCTGGATCCAAAGGTTCCCCGATAGGATTCTAGGGGTAACTTCCATTTCCATTCTGAACTCAGGCATCCGGATCTTTACAGAAAACCACCCAAAACAAAGAACGATGGCTGGAAAGAATGGGAATCAACCCCTGGAAGGATCTGAAACTGCCAGCCGACGCAAGGGGACTCTACCTCCAAGCTTTACATGACTGTTTCCCGGGCTTTGCCAAAGACTGCAAGCCTTGGGACACATGTATTGACATCTTCCGCAACCCCGAACCTCACATCTTGAAAGCTACCTGGCTCAGGGATCTTTACATTATACACCTGAACATTGCCTTGTAAATGGTGGTTTCCTTTTATCTTGGTGGAAAAAGCCGGAGTTGAGGTTGCAGTCTATTTCCTGTGTGTTGAGATTCTAGAGTGTAATATTAATGTTGGATCCAAAAGTTTTTTATCAGCTAATAATATTTGGATTGATGGTTACATCCGTTCACCTCCTCAATCCAAGATACGAAAGGTAAATGAAAGATGATAGCAAAGACAAATAACCATAAAATCAAAGTGTCTTAATTCTAAGTCTTGATGAGAGAGAAAGAGATGAAAGACAAGGAAAATAAAAGCTTGAACATGTTAGAATTAATTTGTATTTCCTGTGTCATTCCTATCTCTTGGAAGCATTTGTATCTCCTGGATTCTGGATTGTTGACGAGATAGAGTGGTGAAAGGGAGATAGAGAGAATGAACCTTTCTGTAATAGCGGTTCATCTCTGAGATTGATGGTGTACGAAAGGAAAAGGAAAGGTTAACCGCTATGACGAAGAGATGAGGAATGAAGCGGTGGGTATAAATTATTGTCTCGTCCTCTGTCCTCATCACCATTCCACACCGTTAAGGACCTAGACCAGGTGACAGTATTTCCAAGATGAAGTTGATAATGATAGAAAAGACAGGTTATAGAGAGTGAGATTTCTTATCAGTCAATATGTTTATTAATTTGTGTTAGGATTGTTTGGTTGGTTGGATGGTGCTGAGGATAAAGGATTTCTCTGTGTGTCCTCAGCCATCTAGTTCTTCCGCAATAACTTTTGGTCGCTGTCAGATGACTTTTCCCTTGGCAGCTGTCAGCGGATGGACCAAAGAGAAATCCATCCAAATGTAACCGGTCCACCCCTTCATTCTCTTCGTTCACTCGTTCTCCCTCTCTCTGTCAAAACCACCCGAAACGGAGAATGCGGACTGTGAGGAGCGAACTCGGAACCAGATGAGTTTAAATGATCAACTTGGAGTTCATGGCCATATTCGGAGAAGGAGGAAACTCTGAAGACAAACGTCCAATGCCAAACATGTTGAAAGTGAGAGGGGCAAACAGCAGAACGTACCTGGACCCCCACACACACACTTGGGATTGGTTGGGTTTGACCCAGGTTTGTCAGTTTCCTTGCGTCAGAGCGCGGTGGCTCACTTGCCCAAAGGACCCTTCAATTCGAAAGGTGAACCTTTTGGGTTGCCTGGCGGAGTACTATCAGTGTCTCACATGGTTGTGCCTTCAAACAGGGAACCCTGAAATGATGGGTGTTGATTTTGGTTTCCGCCGCTTGGAAAAAGGTACGAGGATTAAAGATTGTTCAAAATGTGTCAATCCGCTTTGGGCAACTGGGTGTCTCGAGCGGAGGAATCCAGAAGTGACACACACACACACACACACGGCTTGCGCTCCAGCCAACGAGAACAATGTGTGGTTCCACGGAAACTTTCAAATCATCATAGAACTTGTCCTACGACTCCCCAAACATACCGCCAAGGATGGTCCATTTTAGTCTTTTCCGGGGATGTTTAAAACAAAAAGTGCTTTCCCAAATTTTGGGGTTCTGTACCCGATTCGTGGGCAGACTGGTCCCCTTCAGGGTGTAAAGGAAGGTGATATTCTTTTTCCAGGATGTCACCGTAGTTGGCCATGGGCTTGCCGGTGAAACCTTGTGACCTCCAGATCCAGAACTAGTTCGTCGAAGGCTCAATCGAGAGCCGGAAAATTTGGCAACCAACTTGGCCCGAAAAATTGTTGGGCCTCGCGGTTTCCTTCTCCCTTGAAACCCCAAAAGGCATGACGGTTCCAAGCCAAAACGACGAGCCACGCAAATGGTTGGCATTTTCCCAAGACCAATTCTTCCGGAAAGAGATCTCCTTGAGAAAGGAGCCTAACCCAATGAGAATCTGAGAGTCTCAAAATAGGGACCTGCCTAGGAGTGGTGTCCTTTCCGTTTCCCTGAAAAGCATCCCACAAAAAGAAACCCTTAACCGCATTGGCCATGTAGTAATAATAATAATAAATTGTGATAATAATAATAATCATAATAATAATGATAATTATTATTATTATTGTGGGACTGGGTCCCCTTGCCGCAGTCGGGGCATAACGATCTGTGCAGCACGAGGCTCTGCGTCGGCATCGGCGCCGATGCGGGCGCCTCGAATGGGATACATCCCTTCCGGGCAACTCCAAAAGATGACGACGATGCAAGAAAGGCCGTTTCAGCAGTTGTCAGCAGTTGATGTTGGTTCTACCAAAATGATGAACTTGTTGATGTATAGGCATTTTTGCAATCCCAACTAAACCGGGTAGGGCACCCTTCTAACATGGCCAGCGGGAGTGTGAGCACCGCTAGACTTCTGACCGGTAAGTACCACCCTCACAAATCACTCTAGGTCCTCCAATAGAGAGGTTAGAATAAGGTTGCCATGAACCCTCCCCCCAAAAAAGTTGGTAAAAGGGCACTACTGGGGGGACCTAGGGCAACTCATAACCATGGAATCGCTCCTCCATCGGAATCACTCATTTTGCCTCACCTGGAGCTGGTTAAACATCAGCTCCCCTCCGATTGGCAGTTTGGATTGCTTCCCATTCCCCTACAAGAACCAGGGGCTCAACTCCCCAAACCACAAATCCAAACCAACAACTAAGGGGTACCTGATCCAAGGGACGATCCAGCACCGGACGTTGAAAGGACGCACTGCTGGCCCGTCCCTCTCTATCCTTCCTGTTCACCCCCTCCCCCCCGCCCTCCCCTCGCTTGGAAAGCTAGGTTACATGGTGCAAATGTCACCATGGTGCAAGGATGGGTTACCCGTTGGTCTGCTACTTCCAGACTACCTGCTGGTCTTCTACCTCCAAATGTGTGTGCATAGTGTTGCTGGTGCTCTTTTCAGGCTCGTGCAAACGCCAATGAGGGAAACCAAAAGGAGCACCACCAAGAAAAAGTTGGGGATCCCCCCCTTCAAAAGTTGCCATTTTACGGAAGACCCGACCCCTCCATTAGACATCCGGAATTGTTTGGGGGTCTCAAAACCTGGCTGTTTGGAGGGCCCTAAATTGATCAGGAGCATCTGGGTGGGGTCCATTGAAACCATCGCCACTCTGGCTCGGAAACCCTGACATATCCAGATTGAATTTGCTGGTTTCCCATCCAAAGGAGCGCATGAGGCCGCCGCGGCGGCTCGGCCAGGAACAGCGAAGGCTTGGCTTGAGCCGTGCCGAGGCGCGGCGCGGCTTTTTCGGTGCGCCGGCGATCCCAGCCCCAAGACAAAGGAACGGATCTGAAGGCCAACGAGTTTTATTTCGTTTTCCCAGACGCTCCCGATCAGTATAGGGCCCAAGCAGCCAGGTTTTGAGACCAAACAATCCTGGGCTGTCTAATGGAGGGGTCGGGCCATGGAAAGCCCCAGGAGCCTCTGGGTTGCGTGCAGCCTGAAGAAATACAGTCCATACTTGGGTGGTCGCGACCAGCCAAGTTGGAAATTGGTTGTCAAACCGAGGTTATAGCATATGAGTAGGTCATAATTGATAGGCTACTATCCACTTACTTGGCCGAACATCCAAGTACCTTTCTTTGACCATGGACCTTGTGTTGCGGGGAATGTTGGCTCTAGCCGAGCCAGGCGGATCTGGGCTCAAGCGACCAAACGCTGGGCTGTCCGCTTTCTGATCCTCAGCTCAAAGTCGAACCTTCCCACCTGAAGCAACTAAAAACGAGAGGGGATGGCTGGGAACCACCAAGTTTTCGAGTGCTCCCCATTCTTTCCAGGGATCCGAATCTTTCTAGAAAACCTCCGGAAACCAAGGGAAACGGATCCGGTTTTCGAAAAGAACGATGGTTGGAAGGAATGGAAAAGGGAGTCAACCCCTAGAAGAAAGAAAAAAACGGGAGAAAAAAAAGGGAAAAAAGGCCAGCCCTTCCCCTTAGAAGTTTAGCTGGCCCTTCCCCGCCTCCCTGTTTTTTCTCCGCACTGCTCCCGCGTCGGCTTCAGCTGGCAGGGCAAGGAACCTCCAGCAGCAGCAGCGGGCCTCTGATGGGCTGGTCAGCCTCTTCGGCGAATGCGTGTGTCCCCCCCCGATCAGCTCCAAATATCTAATTCCTTTGCATAGGGCTTAAAAACGGGCCTTCTCATTGCAAACGCCTGCTGATATTTGAGTGAGGGGTGGACATCATAACCTTCGAAAGTGGGTATGTGAAGTACCGGATGCTCCTATATATGGATGTCGAAACCCAAAAACAACGAGCAAAACCCAGAAAACAACAAAAGACATTGAACAACCTACGTTGGAAGGGCGAGGCTTCGTCCCCGATGTCCAAGGAATCAGTTGCCTGTTGCCCACCAGTCCAGACTACAACGCGAAAAAGAAGTCCAGCACAGCCGACAAAATGAACCAAGGTGGATGGGTCGTGTCGCGAGCAAGGGCAGGAGGGTGAGTACTTCACTGGCTTAGCATGGGACCCAGAACCAGGGTTCCCATCTCACCAAAGAGATCTGGAAAATGAACCAAGGTGGTCTGTCTTCTTCAGTGAGACAATCACACAGTGTGGAGGGCCCGCCACGCTGTGCCAGTTGGGCTCCACAGCACCCTACAAACTCTTAGAAGCCCAAGAACTATCCACCCGGTAGTGTCTGCTTCTTGTCCTAAACCACTGCCTTAGATTTTAGAGCATATCTTATGAAGCAGCAGAAACGCAGAAAACATGGGAAGCAGTTTTTGACGAGCCGATGCAAGCCTTACGCGTGATCTGTGCCTTTGTCCTGCGAAACAGCGTCAAAATGATTGAATGTGTCTTCCAGGACGTGTGCTGAAAACCGGTGGCCCTGGCCCACAGGAGAAGCAGCACCGGCCCAAGTCTGTTTCTTCCTGGAGCCTCTATTGGCGTCGCCAAGATAAAATCAGCTGGCAGTCAGCACCATTCGGGTAGAGAGTTGCACGAGATGTTGCCAAGGGCCTGTCTACCAACCCCTTTTGATTCTCGCAGGCATCCGTACTTCAACAAGGCATGAAACCTCATGTAAACGTTTCAGTGAGTTCAGTGTCTGCATGGCCTCTCACCCGAACAGAGCACCAGAGCTTCAGTTGGCATCGCCAAGCCGCAAACAGCTTCTGGCTGAGCTGGGAGCGAGTCAGCACCGTCTAGCTACGCACGACATGTTGCCAAGTGCAAAAGGCCTGGTGAGTTTAGGATTTCGCTCACAAATTAATCAACCATTCAAAGCCTAAGCTGCACCAGGTCTTTCTGGCATAAGCCTGAGTGCCGATCCTTAATTTAACTGTACAGCAACCATTTTGCGGACCGCTCGCGTTGTGTTTCGAGCCCATCCGCGAGCCTTTCCAGCCCTGCGGTCCGAGACTCTGAAGGTCTCAGGCCAAGAGCTCATCCTCGCCCCAGTCGTCTGCAAGTCCCAGGTCCAGCTGTTCAAATAAATGAGTCGACAGGCCGTAGACGCTCAGCAAAATGCTGAAGCTTTGCGTCACCACTTGGAAGTACGTGTTCACCTTACGACCATTTGTTGGCGGAAAGGGTTGGGCGGGGGGATGGCACCAGTGACGACACTCTGATCTTGAGGAGATGTCAAGTGGGAAACTCGGAATGTGGGACCAAGGGCACATTCACGGAAGATTTAAGGCAAACATGATGGCCAATCGCCATGAAATGTCTTCGGATATCTGCCCAAACATGATCGCAGCAGGTCACCCAAGATAAATCTGATTGGGTAGCTTCCTTGATGTGATCCTAGCAACTCCCCATTAAAAACCGAAACATGATGGATCTGACCCATCATGATTGCAGCAACTCACCATCCAAATCCGTAGGATATCTGCCCAACCATGATCATATCAGAGCAACTCAGCATTCAAAACATCATGTTGTACCTGGCCCAGACGTGCTACAACCACGGTACAAACTCATATCATGGGATATCTGCGAAACATGAACACAAAAACATCACCACTAGAATGCATTGCACAACCATGATCATAACAACTCGCCATTGCAATTCAAAGGATATCTGCCCAAGCACTATACCCGCTCACCATGATATAACATTCCTGGAATATCTGCTCAGGCAGTATTGTCACCATTACCAATCACGGGGTGTCTTCCAAGCATTGTCGTACGTAGCAACTCGCATTGACATTCATGGAACATCTGCTCAAGAGTTATCGTAGCAACCGTTTATCTCCATAAAATAGCTGTCAAAGAATGTATAGGATATCTGCCCAACCATGATCATTGTAACGCACAATGCCAAAGCACAAAAGATATGAGCCCAAACGTGATCATAGTAAGCCACTCTTGACATTTATAGGGCATCTGCCCGCAAATGATCCTAGAAAGTCACCATAAAAATTCACGGTATCTGCCCCGCACATGAGGCTAGTAAATCGCCATTAATTTGTTGCGTGATATCTGCCCCCACATTGTCGTAACAACGCAGTATTCAAACTCACCGGACATTGGTCCCGCAATCATCGTAGAGGCTCAACAACCAAGCTGAGGGGTTTGTGCCTCAAATGGTTGTGGCCCCGTATCAAAATTCGTGGCATATCTGCGCAAAGTATCGTAGCAACGCATTGAATTTCGTGGAATATATAGGCCCAGGCATTATCGTGGCAACTTACGATCAATGTTGGTAGAATGTTTGCCCAAGCACTACCCTTACCATCCAGATTCATGGGAGATCGGCCCAAATATGATCATAGCAAACTGCCAGTTTGAAAGAAACAAATGCAACATCTGCTCGAACGCCAACTTTGCCAACTGCTTCCCAGCCACTGCATACATCAAACTGTAAGATGTGATCGCGAGGGACAGAAATGCTTCAACGCCCTTCTCCTCCTCAAAGAGGGCATGGAGGTCATTTCGCAACACTCCACGTTCGAGGCTTGCCCTGAGGGAGTCAGTCGGAGCTCGAAGACAAGAAGAAACGACGGTGCCCTTGGAGTTGGGTCAAAAGCGATGCCTGGACCCTCAAAGCTCCCTCAAACTAAAAAAAAGGGATGATGAGTTCCCTTTTTCAAGGGTAGTTTGGGGCTCCAAAGCGGTGGCCTTTTTGGGTTCGGTCTGCCAACCCGCCTGACCGCCTCCCGCAAGTGCAGGTTGCCAGTCGCAATCTGGAGGACCAGTGATCGTGTCACCACAACCTGGCCAAACTTCACTACGCCGAGCTTTTTTGGGCAAGACTAAATAACATCAAACCCGACGAAAAACAAAAAAAGACAAAACAAACAAGAGGAAGAAAAAAAGAAAAACAAAACGGGTCGGAGGAGGAGAGAAGGAGGGGTACTTCCCAGCCCATAGACTCATCCCCTCATCCCCGCTGAATCACCGCCTATTTGTGAATTCAAATTTGGCCCCCTGATTCACGCCTGGAGAAGGAACGCGCACTCATACTGCTCGGCCCGAATTAAGGTGATGATGGTGTTGGCGTCAAGGAACACGTCCAACACCATGAGGCTCACTCGAACCCATAAGCCGCCCAGATTCCGCAAGTTGAAGCCCTCCGCCTTCACCTCGCTCACAGGGCCCTCCTGCGGCTTGCAGCTTCTCACTTTACCCAACCTGAGATGAATGGATCCCGGGCGACATTCCGACACGCGCCCTAAGCGGTCGAAGCCTTCGCCAGGTTCCTCTTGGGCTTCTCTTCGGGTTCCCTGGGTGACCCTCCCAACTAACATGGAACCTGCCAGGGGTCCCTTGAAAAAGAAAGTCATCTTCCAGGACCCAGGACCCCCCGAACGTCAGAGGGTACCTATAAATCACCAGGTAAATGGATCTGTGGAATGGTTCGCCCAAAAAGAGCAGGGAACCCTTCGCCACGTTCCCTTTGGGTTTCTCTTGGTTATATACCTAAACAAAACCGGGTATGTGGAATTCCTTCTGGGTTTCTCTTCGGGCTCCATCTATAAATATCTGGGTAAATGGATCTGTGGAATTCAGGTCAATGTGGCTGTGGGTCAAAACCAATGATACCATTTTGGGGTAGTGGGGATTGGGATGTTCACTGGGGGCTAACCGATTTGGGCTCTGACCCATGGCCATGTGGGAAGATCCGTCCTCCAGCAGCCGCTTGAAGATCCGCCGCTGGTCCTCGAACGACTTCCTCAAGAGAGCGCCGGAGCCGTCTCGGGCCTGCCCCAAGCAACACGGCTGGCCCGAGAGATAGACCAAGGATCCAACCTCGGCTGCGAAATCCGCTCCCCTGCTAAAACAAGTTGAGCTTTTGGTGGTTTAATGGACTAAAAGTTGAACTTTTAGTGGTTTAATGGAAACTGCTAAAAATTCAGCTTTTAGTGGTTTAGTATGGAAAACCCATGAGTTGGCAAGAAGCTAAAGTCCTAACATCCCTTGGCAAAATGCAACAAAGCAACGATGTAAGCGCTCTGGGAAGCACAAAGCACCAGGAACAAGCCGGCGATGAGCTGCTCGGCGTTGGCCAACCCTGGGCCCGCGTTGGCAAACAGAGGGCCCTGGGGATGAGAGATCTGCCAGGGTCCGGCCAGAAAGTCCGGAAGGCTCGGGGTCTGGTAGTGGAGGTAGTCCATCTTCGCGTAGAGCGTGTGGACCATGCGGTTGGCGATTGGTAACTCTCCCAAACCTGGGCTGCCCGTTTTCTGATCCCCCGCTAACAGTGAATGGCTTGTAGTGGGCTAAATGGATTTCCAACCACTAAACACCAAAAGGATCTACAAGGCTAAGGAACCGGATGGCTGCGAGCCACCAAGTTCAACATGCTTTTTGCAGAAAAACCGCAGGGTCAAGTGGATGAGGGGCCTAGAGCCAGGGACGGGATGGCTGCGAACCAAGAAACGCGCCGGGGACGTCATGGGGTTGAAGACCAGCGCCAGGAGCAGTGCAGCCCGGAGGCAGCCCAGCAGCACTTCGCCACTGGAGCGGGCGGCCAGGCAGAGGCCCGGGTTTCGCAGCAGGCCGCGGCCGTGGAGGCGAAGACCTGGCGGTGGTTGTCAAAAATGCCTCAACCAGAATACCCATCATGTACAGGCCTGTGTATATATATATATATATATGTCTCCATCAATTCATGCATCTACGCATGATGAAAAAGTATATATATATATATATATTTATCTGTACATTAAAATTAACTGTGGGTCAAAAATAGGGTAACCCCAAAACGGGTTCCCCTGGTAAATGGAAACATGGACTGAAACCTGCGGTCCAATTCCTGGTGGTTTAATTTTGACCCATACCCGGTTCTAAAATGAGTGAATTCACCTACCAAGCAAAATGGGATCCCATTGGAATTTTGACAACCACAGCCACCTGGGAGGAGGAAGGCTACGGCCCAGAGGGGCAGCGCAACCGGCCACCAGATGACGAACATGACCACGAAGAAGGGGAAGACGACTCCCGCCAGCACTTCCTCTGCCCAGTGGAGAACCCATGGGAAAAAAAAGGCATGGATCCATTTTTTTTGGTTGGCGGAGTTTGAAGGACAAAAGGAACCCTTCCCAACAAAAAACTGAAAAAATAATGGGCGGAATCCACTGGTTGCAGCTGGGCTTCGCAGACCCGGGCCGCCTGCCGAACCAGCTTCCAGCTCGGAGACACGGCCTGGGCGGCCAAGAGACGGGCGCCGGCGTGGAAGTTGGTCGGCAGGCCGCCGGCCTCCGGCACGGCCATGTATGGCTTGGCAACCGTCCGGGTCCGGGTCTGCAGCACCAGCAAGCCGCCCACAGCAGCCCCACCCAGTAGGGTGAGGTAGGCCTTCGGTTCATGGAGCGCCCACTGCCTCACTTGGCTGATTGACCTGGAAAAAACAGACGCACCTTGTCGGGCCCTGATTCAACATGGATCAAACTGGGTGTAAATCAAAACCAGGCCAGAAGCTCGGCTTGCAGCTGAGGGACACTTGGGCCGCCAGCGTCATGTGCTGCTGCCAGTAGGCCTTGACTGCCGGGTCCAGGATGTGAAAGTAGTAGGGCGTTCCGTCGAGAGAGCCCCAGGGGTTGGCGCCTGCTTGCAGCCAGCAGTCGGCAGCCTCCTAACGGAAGGCACAACGCCAGCACAAGAACGAGACAAAGGTGGCTGAAACGGGTCTTTCGAGTTCTACTCTGCAAACGGAAGGAATCTATAAAGTGGGTCCATTTCCCAAAAAGAGCTTTCCGTTCCTACTAATCATGGTGAACATGGGTTCCACGTTCATTGGCTTTGCTGGCTCCGGCTGTGTGTTAGTCTGGAGAGAAAAATCGGTGGGGCAGAGCTCGCTCCCTCGCCAGATCCCGGCTCGGGCCGAGCGATGGGACCAGCTGACACGTCTTGGCACCCATGACCGCAGGTCTCCAAGGTGTCTTTGGGTCCTGTTTCTCTTCGTTTCGGGATATCTCTGGTTCCTACATAGAGTTTGTGAGACAAGAAGGTAGTGGGACACGTCGTGTGCTCAAGGCGTCGTCGCCGGCTATAAGAAGTGTTGCTGCAGCTTCAAGCTGCAGCGGCCCCTTGGGAAGACTTGGTTCCATTTGCAGAGGCCTTCTGGCAGCTGAGGGAGTGTACTCATGATTTCAGATGCATCATCACGCTGCATGGCTCAAGGCACCGGAGAACAGGCTGCGAACTGTTCTTTTTGTTACCAAACCCCAAGGAACCTTCAAACAATGCAATCCAAGTCAGTGGTTGTTTTGCCACCTTTTGTGAGAAAAAAATGGGCGACCCCCTCACAAAAGGCTTCACAAAAAGGTCGATCATTCGTCCACCCATGGCAAAAAGACCCCCGGATCCCAAGACCGACCAAGCGGACACCGGCCAGACTCGCTCTCTTCGCAGTCCTTCGTGAGGCCTTTCAAGCAGACCTCCGTCAGCGCCGGGGCGGACCGGCATTCGTGGAGCCGCCGGCCCACGCCGCAGTCCTCCTCCCAACTGGTGTTGAACTGGCCACGAAGCCACTGCGCCACCTGGGCGGCCCGTTTTCTGATCGCCGGCTAAACTTGGTTGACGCTGGAAGGGGAAAATTCAAATTTTAGCAGTTAAGTGCCCCCACTAAACCACAAGAAGCAAACATGTAAAATGTTTCCCAACAACAACCATGTAAAAGTGAATAACTTTTAGTGGGTTAAATGGAAATCCAACCACTAAACACTAAAAGGATCTAAAAAGCTCAGGGGATGGCTGCGAACCACCAAGCCTCCAGATGTTCGTTGAAGAGAGCGGCCATCAGCGGGGTGGTTCCATCCTTGCTCCTGGCGTCGATGGCCGCTCTGTTGCTGTGAAGCCACTGGACCATCTCCAGCTGCCCCTCGTAGGCCGCCTGCATCAAAGGGGTCCAGCCGTCCTTGCGCTTGGCATCGACGGCCGCGCCTTGCTTCAGCAGCCACTTGGCCATCTCCAAGTGCCCGCTGCTGACAGCCACATACAGCGGGTCGCGGCCCCACCTGGCTTTGGGTCCAAACCGTTTTGGGATCCCATTTTGGGTTTGGTGAGTGCACCACCCGTTTTAGAACCTATTTTAGTGGTTGGATTGAATCGGATGTTCACTGGGGGCTAACCGGGCTTTGGATTTTGACACCCACAGCCCGCCTGTCCCTCTCGCCAACCTCTGCGCCGTTTTGCACGGCACGCTCCGCGGCCGTCAGGTTGCCCCCCGCGACGGCCTCCAGGAGGTCCTGACTTGCCACGTCTCCCGCGGCGGAGGTCGCCAGAACGATCAGGGCGCATGCCACGGGCCGAAGCATCGCGAAAAGGCGGTTCGCGGGTCGGGCGGCAAGGGGAGGTCTCGAACTTGGCTGCTGCAAAAGCCAGGCAAAAGCAACTCTTCGGCCAAATCAAATCAAAAGGCTGAAGCTTAAGCAAAACAAGCTTGCATCCGTTTGCATTTCGTCAGCTTTCATCTCCGTGATCTCCCCACAGCTTCGACACCACACCCAGAGCCAACTCCATGGCCTTTCCAAAAGGATGGATGCAAGACCACCTTTTCTCACCCAAAAAGTGGCGGCCTGACAGTGACAAACAAGGCTAGATGCAAGGAGAAGGCAGCATGGCAATCAAGAAGCTGAGCAATCAGAGGACCACCTTTTTACAGGAAGAACATCTGCTTGGAACCCTCCTTGGGGACCAAGCGCCGGGCCATCTCCGGGCTCTCGCCGGATCAAGGCCCGCTTCGGGCTTCGGTCGCAAACGGCCGAAGCTTTGCCTCGGACGGTCCAAAGGCAAAGCGGAGGCCCAGGGGTAGGTTCTCACGGCAGGTGTTTGTTGGCCTTGGTTTGCGTCAGCTTTCAGGGACGCAGTGGCCTTGCTTTCTCGCCGATCCTCACAGCTCAGAAATTCGACGCAGAAATTATCTAGTTTCAATGTCCATCGAAGTCAACGATTCCCGAGCTAGCGACAATGCCTGTTTCAAGAAGATTCCCGAGAAGCCCCTCGGAAATGGCCTTTACGTCTGAGTGGCCAATTCAGTGCTGATTTGTCCATGCCCACCAAGTGTCAAGGTGAAAGTCCCACGTTCGCAATCACCGAAATCGACACGTCCAGGTCCAATCAACCGCCAGCACGTTGCTCGAAGCTGAAGTTTCGTGCAAACGAAACCAGGGTCAAAGCAACCTAAGGAAGGCGGCCGAGAGACACAAAACAAAACATCGGGGTTGGCTCACAGAATGTGTAAGATCTTCATTTCTTTTGCTTAAAGGTCGGCGAAATGAAACGGGAAGTATGAAGGCTCCAAAGTGACTCATGATTCGCCTCATCACCCCCCTTTACAGGGACAAAGCTCCACTGTATGGTGCAAACGTCACCGTGGTGCAACAAGAGGGTACTAAACTGGCCTTCTAGCTCCAAGATTTTTTCAGGTACCCTTTTCAGGTTTTTTGCAATACCGAAGCCCATTTGAGGGTTCCCCCCTTCGACACCCCAAGTTTTTCAGCTCCCACCCTGAGACCGCCGCTCGCCAGCGGAGACCACAGCGGTCGGCAACGCTTGGCTCGGTGCGAGCACGAGTACGGGGAGATGATCCAGATGGATCTGCAGTCCCGTGTGTGTTTCTGTGTGTGTGTGTGTGTGTCAATCAAGACGGGTTTATGCCTTTCTCTGCCAATGGACACGAAGACCTGATTTGGGCACCAGCTAGCCCACCCCACACACACCCCACTCCCCACTTTAGCTGCTGGCTCTCCGTCTCAACCCCTCCACCCCCATTTTTCTCTGCTCTGCCTCACCGCTCGATTTCTGGAGCCGCGTCACCCTCCGCCGGCGCGAGGCCGCGGGAGACGTCTTCGGTGAGGAAGGCGTGGGCCAAATCCCCGTCTTCATCCACCAGCAGCGGGCCTGCGGCCCACGCGGCCCGCCACCCCCCTGACCAAAACCATCAAAACTCGGTTGCTTTCTGCTCCCCTGCTAAAAGTTTAACTGTTAGTCTGGTTTAATGGAAAACCCATTAGTTGGCAAAAAGTTCAAGTCTTAACATCCAAGCAAAATGCACCAAAGAAAACAATGGGGGTTCATACAACCACCATTGTTTAACTAAGGATTGTCCTCAATTCAATTTGGGTCCTTGCCATTCTTTTCAGGGTTGAACCCTAGGGCACATGCTTTTTTTCCCAGAGGCTGTTACCAAACCCCTCCATTAAACAGCCTCGAGGTGTTTGGGACCCGGTCTCAGCTGGTTCTTTGAGGAACATCCGGAGCTTCTGGGTGGGCATGTCTCGCTTATGGTCTGTTATTTTTTCTGGCCGGTGGCTGTATTTGGCCATACCCAGCCCGTACTTGTTCAACAAAATCTTAAAGAAATGGCACATATGGGTTCGCAGGTATAATTTGGAAATCATCGGCAACCAGGGAAACCACAATTTGCAAACTCAAGTTGCGCAACTTACCCCAAGACCATTGACATGGGTGAGCTCGCTTTGCCTCCGGAGCTGGACCCTTTTTTTAGCTGCCATTCCTGGCTCGGAAGTGTCGACTTTCATTGTTATGGACAGGCCCCTTTTGGCTGGGTTAAGCTAGGGCCGCAGGGGATCGCGATTTATTGTGACAACGCCGATACGAGACACTGCAATTCGATGAGTTTACGGCCCAAACAAACTCCAGGGCGTCGAATGGAGTCTTCCATTTAAAACCCCAGAAGCCTCTGGGCGCAAACAGTACCCAAAGGATCTACCGGGAACGGTGACCACGCGTTTGGCTGGAGGGCACACCAAATGGCTTTCAAAAAAAGCAGCGCCGCACTCCATACTGTGGATGGACCAACTCCTGCACCACTTTGAAACCATGGGAATCTATTGTTTGTTGATGTTTACAGAGAAATCATCATTCCAGGGTTTCTTCGGTGGTGCAGGATTTCGTCCATCCACAGTAGGTCGTGTACCTGCCTAGCCTCCAACAAGGCACAAAAAAGGCTTCTGCTGGGTCATTCCATGTTTCCTTCCCTGTGATCGCAAGTTTTTAACTTCGGGGTGCGGGTGAATTGCCCTCCTTCCGCCCCTCGCCCCAATCGCCTGCGGAGAGCAGGAGCAGTTGCGGGTCCGCCTGGCGAGCGCTTTCACAAAGACAGGACGGGCGAAGCAGCAAATCCGAATCAGATGCGCTACGAAGAAGCACTGCACATCTAGAGATGCTCCACTCGCTTCTTTGGATGACTAGATGGTCCGGGACGAATCACTGAATGATTAGTAGCGCGGGGGTAGGGGACTACAACCATGGTACTGTGGATGGACAGAATCCCACACCACTTTGAAACCATAGGAAACCATTGTTTGTTGGAATTTGCAGAGAAATCACCATTCCAGGGTTTGTTAGGGTGGCACAGGATTTCGTCCATCCAGCGTATGTCTGGGTTAATGGCCACTTGGGTGTTCGGCAAAGTTTCTCAGTGCTCGGAAACCCGGGCTTTGACCCACTGCAAAGTGGGATTCATCGTGCCCGCTATGAGTGGGTTGGCTTTACCACCTACTGACTTGGCCCCTGGGGTTCAACCGATTCCCATTAAAACAATCTAGGCCCTCAGGTCCGATCTCCGCGAAAAGTTTGACTAACTTTTAGCAGGTTAGGTGGAAAGTACCACGAAAAACACTACAGGCTAAAGGCTGGGAACCACCAAGAATCATGCCCCCCTTTAACAAAAATGGCTGACCCAATTTGGATGATGACAATCCTTCGGTAGATCATGGTGGTTATATGAAGCATTGTTTTAATGCTGGTAACTGAACCCCAGGCGGCCGAACACCAAGAAGGGGAACACAACCATTTAGCTCACTCCCTTGATCTCTCACTTCCGAACCACGGCTTTCGGTCCACGGAGTCCCAGGCTTACGGAAAAGGACATGCTGATAGCAGCCAGTCTTCCAAAGAAACTTCACATACTCCTTTTCAACCAAACATCACTGAGAAAAACATTTTTTTGTTCTGGTCGGAAAATTCTTGTCCATAGGTGACCTGGAAACCTCCATGGGTTTCCCTATGTGGTAAACCCAAGCAACCAGTCACCCAGTGGAATCAAAGCCATCGAAGCAATCTAACCCAGTGGACACCAAGCGAGCAGTAATGGGAACGGGAAGAGGGAATGGGGTTCTTGAAGTTGAAGAGGGAATGGAAGTCCTTTCAATATTTCAAACGTCTTGAAGTGGCAATGGGGTTAAGAACCTGAAGAAGTTGAGGCCGTTCCCACAGTTTGCAACTTGCCGATCTCCCGATTCCTTGGAAGCGTGAAAAGGTTTTGCCGGCACAAGAGGGCTTTGGCTTCCTGCAAGTTCAAAGCGAGTGACACCCCTGAATGTTGACCTATTAACCAGCCAGCTAGTTTATCAATCGGGGGTCAACCGGAACACCCCCTATTAATAAACTGGTTGGTTGATTAATATGGGGTCACCATCAAGGGACCACCAGAGATGGTCTTTTTTCAGGGTTGTTCCATGTCTCATCCCTGCATCTCTCGCACCAGCAAGCAAAACACCCCCCAACTCTTGCCGTCCATTGGCCAATGGAAACGGAAACCTCCCGCCTGTAAACACGAAGACGAGGGAGTGATGAGATCGGACAGAGTCGCATCATCCGTCCTCGGATTCTAGAAGACCGGGGAAACCCCATACAGGACATACCCCACGCGTTCTTTTGGGTAGTGGTGGGCGTCATACTCTAAAACAACCAGGGCATTTTGAGTAAGGAGTATCCGACCTGTAGACACTAACCACAAGGGAGAAACGGCCTCGGTCATATCCACACTAGCGGGTTGTGCGCGACTCCTGAGTTCCTACAATTTCATTGAGACCTCACCTCCAAGCTCAGCAAATTTGCCCATGAGCTTACACTAGGCCCATGTGTTCAAACATGATTTGTCACAAACACGTGTCTAAACCTTTTGGCTTCCCGGCCGTTTCCCGCGTCTTGCTTCAAGCAACATCCACATCTCCCCTAGAAACCCGGCAAAATGGGCTCGGATCTCTGCCAAATGGCTAAGATATGTCTGGCCGGTGAACTTCTTGGCTTCTCGAGCCCTAAGGCCTTGGTATCTAAGGAAATGGGCGACGGGCACAAAGAATGTGGACCCACATCAATCACCCCCAGTTTACTAGAATAGGGGGGTGTCCCTGAAATTGGTGGGGAATCTGATCAGAGGGGAAGGTCCCGCTGTCAATAAACTGGTTGGTTGATTAGCATCGGGTCAACATGATTGTTCTGCAAAGTTGCACGAGCGCAACTATCCTGATGTGCAATGATATGCATGCAAGCATTTAGTTGGATGAGGGGCAAGCAAAGGCTTCCTGGTGTCAAAACTCTGGCACCATGATTGCCGTAGACCTGGCGGATGGTTAGCTACAGCAGTTAGGATAAGGGGAGCGCCCGGCGGTAGACCGGGAGCTTCCGAGGGTGGTTTTGAAGGGGAACTAAAGGGAACACCAAAGAATACCTGCTGATGATGGACGGCCTTCCCGCCTTGGCCTAACAGCCAGACCTGCCACCAAATGTCCAGTTCTGATTGAGAATCTGCAGGCCTATCACCAAGTTGCACCGTTTCCCTGGCAAGCTTGCCACATCCCTTGGTTGACGTTGGAAGGGAGCAAACGTTTTAATTTTTAGCAGTTAAGTGGGGATTTCCCACTAAACCACAACAAACAAAAATGTAAAATGCTTCCCAACAACAACCATGATCCGCACTCACAACAGCGGCCGGCCACTCTTCCTCTGCCCCGCGCCTCGACTCTTCCTCTCGCCGCGTGCCGCGGCGCGCCGCTTTCAGGTCCCTGGCACGTCGAGCAGCCCTGCTTAGATGCTCCGGGATGAATGTTGGTTCTACCCGCCAAAGGTTTGTTAGCTACTTGTTTGTTCTGGTGCTTAGCTGGCTCGCTTTGCCCTGGCTTTTCCCCACCACCAATCCCATGCTTCGCTTTGCCCTGGTGCTTTCCCACAGGAAACAGGCCCACAGCCCATGGATACAATCTCTGCCCCGACCCCGGCCTCAGCTCGCCGGCAGACATGGGCCGCTTCCGCTCCGGCTGCGGCGCCGGCTTCGGCGCTGCCGGCGCCGGCTTCGGCGGCTGCGGCGTCGGCTTCGGCGGCTGCGGCTGCGGCGTCGGCGCTGGTTGCGTCTTTGGCGCCGGCCAGCGGAAGAACACGGTAATGGCCTCAGATCTCACCGTTGTTTTTGTTCTTGTTCTTCGAATTCTTGGCCTCCCAACGAGAAAGAAAACACAACGTGTGACACACGAGAAGGACACAAACCATACAGAACTACATACATACATATATAGATATATAGATATATACATGCTTGACCTTGGGTTTGGGGAGCAACAATTCTCAAATTTTAGCAGTTAAGAGGATGAGGATTTGGATTTCCTTCCCAACAAACATGCTTAACAACAACCATGTATATACATATCTCAGAAGGGTACCTCCTGGGCCCTCGGGTTTTTGCACCGAAGCAAAGACCGAGGAGAGATGCTTGGCTCTACCGACTTGGAAACCTCAAAGCGAAAAAACAACCTCGAGAATTCGGAAAAAGTTATAGGAGAGATGACAGGGTATACCAGTAATGTCCTCTGCATTTTCCGATTTATCAAGGTTTTATTCGGGTTTCTATACATCATGGTAATCCTCATGCACATGTAATGTTAACAACTGGATCTAGCAAAGGCCTAGAGTTGAGCAATCACATTTGCTGGTCTAGCTGCCTTATGTGTAGAAATATGATTCAACACTAGCTTGAATAGCCAAATCAATAGTATGCTTAGTTCCCAGAAAACTATTCTTTATGGTCTAAACATTGTGTATAGTGCACTATAATGACTCTAAATCACAAACAGAACCTAAACTTTTTTGTATATTATAAAGAGAACTTTCTTCAGACATTATATATAAATTAAATTCACTATGATCGAGTCAAATTATATGCTTAGCTTCATACTTAATTCATTCCCTAACAATTTCGGAGCCGATACCCCCCCCGGTCTAAAATATTTCTCTAAATCTTGTATATGTTTAACAGTTGAGTTAGCTGATTTTGGCAATGCTATAACTAAAGGGTCAAATCTTGAAGATAACATGTTTTTAATGTAATTCTGTTTTGAGAAAACTGTTTTACCAGCTATGCTTCATTTTCTGTGAAGATATATCATCATCAACAAAATATTTTATCATATTCCCTGCTGCATCAAGTTCCTGAGCTATCTGTGTCCTGGCAAGACCTGCACCACGATGATTCTTAATGATAACGTACAGTAAGTGAGGAGCTTTCTTTCAACACTAGGGTATAGTTCTTAACCAAAGGCATTTTGCAAAACGTTTGTAATGTGCCGTCTAAAGCACCTTGTGTTTTTCTTGAGCATAAGCATAGTTGCTTCGTTCTTATTGATTAGGTTTACTCTTTCGTTATGATTAATTTTCCTTTGGGCGGTATTTTTAGATTGAGATATAACTTCAATCAAAAGATTTGGGTCAGTTTCAACGTTTGATTGATTAACGGTACAACTGGGTGTTATATGTTGCTTTGATGTTTGTGTTGCCCATTTTCTGAACTTTGTACCTAAAGTACAATCTATCCTTTACCCTACAGGTATGATCACATCAAGGTTATACTCTTTAACATGTTTGGAGTTGTTGATGTGCGGATTGGTGTTGGGTCAGTTAGTTTGGCTTGAAGTAACCTGTTTGCACGTCTGCAAAAACAACCATTTCATATGGAAAACACTAGAGCCCACAGCGTACCCCTCTCATGTATATATGCTCACCCCGCCTCCCCCCGCAGGGCCTACCTTTCCACTTCAAAATGTTCAAAATCACAAAATCCTCTTATTTTAAAGACAGGGGGTGTGAGCATATATACGCAAGATGTGTGCTGTTGGAGCCGGGAGTCCTCTAACAAGACCAAATATACATTCCTTTCCAAACAAGATTTCGCTCCGATTTGAATGAATAAAGTTTAGAAAGGACATAGTTCACCACAATTCATAATTCACCCTAGTTTCTATATTTAATCAGAATTTGAATAGGCATACCTTTGAAAAATGAATTTCAGTAGAGTTTAAGTATACTTTAATGCAAACAGAATTCAATTGGCTTTTGAACATAAGAAAATATCTAAGAATGCCTTCCCAAATATGACTTAAATTGGAATGGAGCATATTCTGGAAAGAAATCACTTGGCCTTTGCAAACAAATTTGAAGAGCAACTCATTCCCAAATATGACTTAAACTAAGTGTGGCTAAACAAATAATGGGCAAATATCCGCAGACTCCCAAAATTGGTCTGGACATTTGTTTGGCATGTGCAGGTCTCAGAGCTTTCATTTCCAGGAGATTTTGTGCTTTTGGGTCTGTGCAGGTTGCAGAGCTCAAAGCCGCAAAAACATCGATTGTTTCAATGTGTTTCCCTGGTGTACTCAAAACCACTGTACAAACCAGTGTTTTCAAACAAAGCCAGACTCGAATCTGAAAACGGATTCAGTTTTTGCCTTTCAAGCTTAAACAAAGCAAGCATTTGCTGTCATATAAGGTAAAACACTAACACAAACACTGTATTTTACAGTGTTTTCAGGCATCTGTAAGAACAAGGCACACGGAGTAGACTTGACACCTTTAACTAGAAGAGAGGAAAGGTAGGCCCTGGGGGGGGGGGGGTGACCATATATATATATATATAATTACACACACATGTGTATGTATAAATATATATATATATGTATATGCTGTGTTTCTGAGGGCCTGTTGCGCAAAAGGCGGCTGGTGCGGTGTGCCGTACGCAGGAGGCTCACTCATAGAAAGTTGCATACCGCACACTGGTTCAGATCTGTTAAAGCGGGCCATGTGAGCAATTAGCAGTGAGCCGTGAGAAGACATCCCCTAACGTCACTGGAAAACAGAAGCAAGAAATGCAAAAGGCCTTCTTCTTTGCCCCTGGTTCACTGTGAGCTCAGAGTTGAAGCATAAATCATCCAGTATTCCGGTGTTAGCACGAATCTTCAAGAGTTTGAAAGGGTTTGTCTCAAATAGGGGAACCCCCAAAAGTGATGGGCTCCCTTTGGCATTCATTCCCTTTGTTTAAAGGACCTCAAGATGATGGGCACCCTCAACAGACATACCCGAAAGTGAAGCTTTTGCAAGTTGGTGGCCGGTCTCGACCCGCTTTGGGAACTGAACGGGAGACAAGTTTACTCGAACCAAGGGCCACGATTTGGGGCTGTGTCTCAAAGAAACGGATCCAAAGACTAACACCTGCGGGGGGTTGCCCTGGAAGACCCATCACGTCAGCGTTTCAGCCAACTCATCGCAGTCTCCCTTTTAAAATGACGGCGAAAAGGGTACTGAAAACAAACAAAAAACGCAGCCCCAATGGGTTTGTCTCAAAATAGGGTTACCCCCAACAGTTGACAGGTTGCTTTCTGCTCCCCTGCTACAAGTCCAACTTTTAGTGGCTTCATGGACAACTCATTGGCAAGTTGAAGTCCTAGCATCCCTTGGCAAAATGCACCAAAGAAAACCATGTAACATGTGTCCCCGTGGATTCCCTGTAAACCAAGGGCCCCTGAACAAAACCGACCTGGGCTGAAACGACTCACTCGCAGACTCGCCGCCGTGAGGTTCTGCGCACTGCCGCGAGTGTAAGCTTCTTGCCTCAGAGGCTGAGAGGTGTGAACGGGTTTGGTCAGGGTAGGAAATGACGACTATGAAATGACCATTTAAAGGGGGACTTGTGCAGGTCCAATATGTCGGGCACCCGGTTTTTGTTTTTTGGCTCCAAATCCGTTTTTGGGGAACCCCTAAACTCGGTTGACGTTGGGTTTGGGGAGCAAACATCTAAACTTTAGCAGTTCTGTGGTTGGATTTCACCCACTAAACCACCATAAGCACAAATTGGAAAAATGGTTCCCAACAACAACCATGTAAAAGTGCATAACTTTTAGTGGGTTAAATGGAAATCCAACCACTAAACACTAGATGACTGGATTTCAGCCACTAGAGACTTGTCTGGTGGATGAACGGGGGACCCTGAGGTATCAGTGCAAACACCTCTTGATTTCCTGGGTTGAGTGTGGTTTGAAAAAAACGCCGCTGCGGAATGGTCCATTTAAAGTTGGGAGCTTTGAGTGATAAGACCTCGTTTAAGTGGATTTGGTAAAAATTTGGTGGTTGGGGGTCTGGCGGCTTGGCTTGGTGGCTTACTTGGATGGTTCAATAGATTTGGCGGTTTATGGTTTGGCCCTTCAGCAGGATTGGTGCTTTTCTGGCTCAAAGGGCTTGGGTGCTTTGGTGGTTCAATGGGCTTGGCGGTCTTGTGCGTTTGGTGGGTTTGGTGGCTCGATGAGATTGTTGCTTTGCGGGACAGCCCCCGGGACAGCAAAGGGACACCATCAGGAACACAACCGAAACATCGACGGGACAAGAGTGATCTCAAAAAAGAAGAAGAGAAAACGGGACCTCCCAGGCGTGATTTCAAAAAAAAACACACCGGGATCTTCCAGGGGAGATTTCAAAAAGAAAATGCACCCCCAGGCGCGATGTCTTCCAAAAAGCACATGACCCCCCAGGCGTGATTTAAAAAAAGGGACCGAGATGTTGTTTTTTCTTTGCAACCACCAGTCACTCACTTACTCGCTCGCTTCGTCTGAGAAAAACACAAAAATGATATTTCAAAATGAGGGGTTTCAAAATAAACAGCTCCAAATATGATATTACAAAATAACAGCTGTATTCCAATTATATTCAAAATAAACACGGCTGCTGTAAACTCAAAGAAGAAAAAAACAAAACAAAGCACCGGTTCCCACTGAAACACGACCGGGACACCACCCCACAAAACTGCCACTGTCCAGGTGATAGAGTTCAAGACCCCAAAGGCTAAATGCTACTGAACCCCTAGCATTAAACCACTCCTTCAAAACCACTAAAACAAACTGCAAAACTGGTTGGACACAAATCGCTACAGCCCACACACTCTAAAAAGCAAACAACCGGTTCAAAACTAGTCCAACACAAACTCAGCTAAAACAAATTGAAGAAGCCGAAACCAAGAAACCGAAAAACCTAAAAACACATGAGAGAAGGTATGTATAGGGCTTTCTCCAAACCCAGCTAAACCAAAACAACCCGTGAAGCATGGTGCAAATTTCACCTACATAGTGCAACAATACGCATTGATCTTCTACCTCCGAATAGGTGTCTTTTCTGAGGGGTGGTCGCCCTTTGACACTCATAGACAACAAACATGGAGACCTTTCTTGAGGGTACCATTCTTTCGCGGATTTCAAAGGAAGCCAGGCGGAACACCGCAACATCTTGGGGTCCAACCTGACAAACAAGAGAACAAACCTAGCAATCGTACGCCCCCCCCCCCCCCCCCCATCGTCGCGGGCGGGGGTCGCTTAGCACCCCTGCGTGAGCTGTGCCGGCGCCCGCTTCTCCGCGCCGGAAGCTCCGCGCAGCGCCGCGGCGACCTCCTGGCAAGAAGAATGTGAAAAAGCGTAGCCCGTTGTTCAGGACCCGCGGGGGGGTCTTGCAAGCCCAAAGGGCATTGTCATACGTGTGTCGGCAAAATGGATGGCGCACAAAATCAATCTGAACCAGTGAAACCCATTTCTTCTACCCAGAGGCTCCTGGGGCTTTCAATGGAAGACCCGACCCCTACATTAGACACCCCGGGAATTGGTGGTTGGGGGTCTTCAAACCAGGCTGTTTGAAGGCCCTAAATCAATCGGGAGCCTCTGGGGAAACAACCTTGGTTGCTGTCGACCCCCCTGCAAAAAGGTTTTTACTTTTTGGAGGTTTATTGGAAAACACCTTTTATTTTCCGAAAAATTAAAGTCTAAAGATCCAACCCAATAGCAATCAAGCAACAATGTGGAAACGCTTGCCACGAGTTTGGAGGTGGGATGTACGAACATGTTACCCTATGCCCCGTCCCTTCAGACCTTGAGGTAAACCAGGGCCATCTATGTTCAGCCAAACCAACAAGGACCCGTGAATCCCCTTATTTCAGCTTCCCTCCGATTGTGTTTTTTTTTGGTTTGGCCACCCCCAACCTCCCTAAAGGCCGTTGTCCCCCCAACATGGCGGGTTTCCCGCCCAACATGGCGGTTTTTTCCCCCACAGTGGAGGTCATAGCGTTGACGAGCAAAGACACTGGCTGCGATAGGGAAGGACTTTCCGAGTCCGGGTGCCGGAAATGAACCGGAAGGGGGCGGGGCCCCTGAAAGGAAACCAGGGATGGGAAATGTCTCGGGGTCATTCCAGGCCAAGCCACGGGTTTTACCTTTCAGCTTCCCTCCAATTGCCGCGGTGGTTTAGGGGGAGGGTGGTTTTCCGTGCAACCCCTCCACAAGAGCCAGTTAATATTCCAATACAACCAATCCAAACTACCAACTAGGAAATACCCAAAGCAACCCGAACCAACAAACAAAAAGGTTTTTGTTAAGGGACCCTCCAAAATGGCTTCAGTTTTTTGTTTGGATTCTTTCACAGCCAGTCGGCTGGTTCTGGTGATGCGGGTTGCAACTCCAGAAAGAGCCATCGGGAGTTGCTTGAGGCACGGTATTCTTTGGAGTGGCATTGGGCTGTGGATCTCGCTTGTGTTGGTTCGGGGGTTATGCAGATGCAAGGAAAGGTGCTGGGGATGCTGTTGCTTTCCCAGATGCCAGAAATGGTTGGATTCCCTTCAACGAAAGCACAAGGGGCTGGTGAAGAGGAGTCATTCCATTTCTCATTTCCTTCTGAGAACCAGCAAGGTTCTTCCCTGAGAAAAACAAGAATCAAACCTTCTGTAGGTGCATGGCAAGCCCAACATTTGTGTCCGAAAAGGTCTCTCCGGTAAATTTGGTCACAAAGGAGAGCATGCAAATCTCTCCCATTTACTTCAGTTCCCTGGTATTGAAACGATGGGGGCTTTTGGGTGGGTTCCACAAAGGGAGATGGAGGAAACCCTGCTAATTGACAACTGCAAAGAAAACAAAAACTGGGTTGAACCCTGGGGTTCAAACCACCATTAAAACAATGGGGGTTCCAATAACCACCATTTGTTGTCTAAGGATTCTCATCACCTAAATTGGGTGAACCTTTGTTTTAATGGGAATCGGTTGAACCCCCAGGCTGAACCCACAGCTCGATCATTTCTCCTCACAGCTCATCGCCTCCGCGATTCCGTCGCCTCAAAAACGAGAGTCCGTCTTGTTTTTTGAGCGGCGTGTTTTGTGTTTGGGGGTACAAAACAAAACACATGTCATATGGCTGTGGGTCGAAACCAATGGTACCATTTTGGGGTAAGTGCACCTCCCATTTTAGTCTATTTTAGGGATGTTCACCAGGAGCATGGGATTTTCACCCATTGCCTTTATTAATCAACCCCTGATTCTCAAATATGGGGGGTGTTCCAAGGTGTTCCTCTCTAGAAGTGATGATTCCCCATTAAACCCAGGGAGAAGCACCCCCCCTATTACCCAGAGGCTCCCGATTGATTTAGGGCCTTCAAACAGCCTGGTTTGAAGACCCCAACCACCAATTCCCGGGGTGTCTAATGGAGGGGTCGGGTCTTCCATTGGAAGCCGAAGCCAGGAGCCTCTGGGTAGTAGACTTGTTGGTTGATTACTATGGAATCCCACGTGATTGAGCCTTTTGCGTTTCGCGGTCGGTCCCTCAATCTGAGTCCATAAACGGTGCAAATCAACAACCAACACCCTAGAAAGGCGATGGCAGGAAGACGAAACAAGCTCGTATTTCCTCTACCCCACATTGCGATCTTAGGGGCAAAAGGTACCAAACTTTGAGCAATGGAAGTGGTATACTAGCAAAAGGTAACTGGTATACAGCATATGTTTTACCCCTGTTTGTTGATAGGTGTTGAAGGGAAACCAAGAGCAAAGCCGAAGCCCATTTGGGGGAGGGGGGGGGGGTCGAACCCTAAAAAGAGACACGCCCACCTACTTTCTGAGTCTGTCTCATCTTTCCTCCAAAATAAGTCACGTATTTTTCTGAGTCTGTCTCAAATTTGTGTCCAAATACGAGAAATAGTTGCCTTGTTGCGCGACCTCAAAGGGATCCAACAGCAAAGCGGTGACCAAACTTTCGGGCTGCAACGCCCTCGAAGGTGGGTATGGAATGACCCGAATGGAACTGAGTCAGATCCACGGCCGGTGATTTCCTCTCAGATCCACGGCTTCCCAAAACCCCTCAAACGATTCCCGGAGAACCAGCAAGCTGGTTCTTCGCACGCGGGTAGCAATTCCCTGGATGGCAAACATCCTGGAGTGGCTATACAGAAAGGCGGTTTATTCCGGTCTTCGGGCCAAACAAAAACTGATCCCCACTGTTTTTGTCGATCATCACAGAAGTGGTTGCACCAACTCCCCTCTTTCCTGCGAAAAACTTCTAGCCCCATAAAAGGGGGGACCTCCTCCTTTTTCCCTCCAAAGGGTCTACCTCTTTCAAGTCAAACAGGTCGTGCGGAAAAAAAGAACGTCAAAAGTCCCCACCCCTTGGGCGCACGGCTGATAAAATTCCGCACGGCTGGAGTCTCATTTCGGAATAAAACCATTCACCTCATTTTGGGGTTTTTCAGGCACCAACCCACTCGAACATATGAACAAATGCAAACATGTCATCCAAAGTGCAAGGAAATCTGTTTGGCTTTCCCCCATACTGCCTGAAATGGCGAAAGAAAAACATGCTTGGCAACGTAGTTGCAAATGGGGTTGTCTTTTTCACACCCACAAAATAGATTTTGGATTTCCTTCTGGCGTTCCTTAAGGGGTACACTCAGAAAGAGACATGTTTTTGAATAATTTTTGGGTGTGGGTCCAAATTCAAGAGCCCGGGCAGGTCGCCGCAGGTTTTAACTTCCGATTTTACCAAGGTATGATGGGCATTTGTTTCAGCCACTGCCAGGCAGCTAAGCTACATCAACCCAAGCACGGGATTCCCTTTTTGCCACCTTTTGTGAGAAAATTGCTCGAGCCCCTCGTAGTGAAGGATTCCTTTTCAAGGGGGTCGCCAATGTACTCACGGGTGGCAAAAGGACCGCCGTGAACCCAAGGGCCAAGTCCCTGCCGCTGGTGTCAATTTGTTGGGGCCCGGGCAGTAGAGGGCCAGCGCCGAGTGGGAGCTCTGCAGCCACATCACCTCCACCTGGATCTCTTCTCGCAGTCCGCTCCGTTTCGTTTTCCAGACGCTCCCCCATTCTTTTTACACCCTCAAACAGCCAGGTTTTGAGACTGAGACCCCCAAACACCGAAGCGGGGGTGTTTATTGGAGGGGCCGGGTCTTCCATTGAAAGCACGAGCCTCCGGGTCGTCCATGTTTGATGGCTCGTTCTCTTGATCTGCAGAAGAATACGAGGAAGAGACCACTGCTGAACCAACGTCCCCTTTTCCTTGAAGTTGCGCTGATCTGCAGAAAAACTTGCTGAACCCACCTCCTTTGGGCTTTCCTTGCAGCGCTAGCTTTGCCGGCACCGCCGGGTAGCCCCCCCCCCCCCCGGTCCAAGCCTAGGGCGGACCATGTCGAGTTGAAGCCAAGGCGTCACAGGTCCGGTATGGATTATGCTGGCAAAATGCTGACTGTTCCTTGCAGCCCCCGAAAAAAATAAAACTAAAGCTACAGAACCAAACAAAACCACAAAAAAAGGCTACGGAACCAAACAAAACCAAAAAGAGAACTTGATCCAAGCCCCGCGCAGCTTTTGGCTTCGCTCCTCGCTGGGCTCCGCGTCTCTCGTCTCTCGTTTTGTTTCTCCGCCTGGGCTGAAGCGGAGACCACCGGCTTGAGGTCCCGGTCTCCGAGCCTGGCCGGCCGAAAAATTGAAGCCGCGAGGCGGCTTCCGACCCCCCCGGAAGCGGAAAAGAAGAAACCTGGGAAGAGATCTTTTGTCCACATTGTCAGCTCAAGGTTACCTGGACCTTCAAACATACTTGAAATTTCTGCCTCCCCTGTCAATCGGCTAGTTGCCTCCCCTGTCAATCGGCTAGTTTCTGCTCACTAGCGTGATTGAACTTTTGGTAATGTTAGACAACTCCTTTAATAGTACCCTCTATTGTAGAATTTTACTTTCTTTCTAATTCAGGATCCTGTGACTAGAAAACCGCCTCTAATAGCAGAAAGGGAAGAAATCTGAGGCACCTCTTCGAGATCTGAGGCCAAGCAAGACCGTCCCTTCGCCCTAGATCGCCCTGAAGAAGGGCACCGGAGATCTTTTTACAAATTGGTACTGAGGGACGAAATCCATTTCGCACCCAAGAAACCCGGGAATGATGCGATTCCCCTGTAAATACCAGCAAACGTTATGGTTTCAACCATGGTTTCACAGTTGTGCAGGATTTTGTCCATCCACAGTATGGCAGAGCAAAGCCGTGGTTTTCTTGCAGCCTCCCGCCAAGAATTCGCAGAACATTCTTGTGGTGCACATCTGTGTTTCTTGCCCGCAAAGAGTTGTTTTTGCAGAACCCCAAAAAACCCTGAAACCGAACAATCATATGAACAATAGTGAAGAGATGTGACATGTCCCAATGCGACTCTAAAGTTACTTTCGATGTCCCTTTGAACCGCCATTTTGAGTCGGTGCCTTTTTCAGGCTGAAAAGGAAACCAATATGCTTGGAGTCCTTCTATTGTGACACATACCCAGATCAGAAGCCCCGTGGTTGGGGAAACCATGTTTGCACCCGGTTTTATTTCGATCTTTGGTTTTGAGAACCTGAAACCAACAAAAAGTTGAGAAAAAGGGGCGGCCTGTCTTTTGGGCAACCGGGAACGGGGGTTGGTCTTGCGCGCCTCTCTGCCTGCCAACTCCCCCCGCCCCCCCCCCCGTCAGGAGGCGCCTGAGGGTGGAAGGAACATGTAACAGAAACTCACGGACAGATCCTACACCTATCTACCCCCACCCAATCCCCCACCCAATCCCCCACCCCCACCCAGCGCCAACCCCCCAACGCCAACCTTCACTCTCCCCTCCCGGCCGGCAAAAAAAAGCAAGCAGGTCCGTAAGTAAGTACGTAAGCAAGTGACCCCACCCCCCTCCCCCCCAACCCCAACGCCAAGCCTTTCCCAACCCCCATCCCCCACCCTCCCCACACCCCCACACCCAACCACCCCAACTCCACACCCTGGGCGCCCCCGGCGCCCGGGGGAAGGGCGAGGAGCACGGCGCCGCGGCGGAGCAGCCGAGGCCCGAGGCTTGCTGCACCCGGAACTCCTGGCGCTCGAAACTCCAAACCCAAGGCGACCGATGTCTCCGTGTGTTCTTCTTCTTGTTGTTTTAATTATTTCTATTATTATTATTATCATTATTATTATTATTAGTATTATTAGTATTATTATTATTATTATTATTATTATTATTATTATTATTATTATTATTATTATTATTATTATTATTATCACTATTACTATTACTATTACTACTACTATTATTATCACTATTACTATTACTATTAATATTACTATTACTATTACTATTACTATGATTATTATTATTATCACTATTACTATTACTATTACTATTATTATCACTATTACTATTACTATTACTATTACTATTACTATTACTATTACTATTACTATTATTATTACTATGATTATTATTATTATTATTAGTAGTATTATTATTATTTTATTTTTATTTCTTAAAGGGGGGGAAGAAAAAAAACACGTGTTTTGGTGTTTTTGGGTTTTTCGCTGCTTTTGGAGGTCCCGCAAAGGGAGATGGAGGAAACCCTGTTAAGTCATAAACAAAAACAAAAAAACTGCGACTGGCTCCTCCAGCTTAGAATAAGGGCACCCGATTTTTTGTTCTTTCGTCTATTTTAGTAGGGGAACCCTCTCAACCAAACAAGGGGCTAAAGAACCCTCCCCAAAAAAAGATTTGGGAAAACGGCACTACTAAGAGACCTAAGGCGACCCGATTTCTCCCGAGTTCTGCCGATTTGCAAACCACCCTCTCGCCCGCAGGGTGGCTTTTTGGTGGGTTTTTGGTGGGCGTGCGGCCTTTTTGTTGGTCGCCTCGAATCTGGGCAGAGGAGGTTGCCTGGGATTTCTTTTCAGCTGCTTAAGCTAAAAACTGAAAAGGGGATTCGTCACTTCGTCACTTGCTGGGGATTCCAATTTGGTGTCACAAAACATGGAAACCCGCCACCGCGTTGCCACCACACCTAAGACTCAAACCCTTTTCGTGGGGCTTGTTTGGTACTTTTGAGATGGACGGGATTGATGGTTCGTGATATGAACCCCGGCCAGGTGCCAACTTTTACCGTTTCCTTTCTGGGAGCATGGCTCCCCTACTAAAGTAGACTACAGAAAAAAAAAAGTACCCTGATTCTAACCTTTTTACTAATGACACACTTGGCTGGAATGTACAGAAACCCCGTTCTATTGATTTAGACGCTTATGTCATACCGGGTCTGTTCCAAGAGGTCCATGGACCAACCTAGTTGATGTTGAACCAGATTCCTTTGTTTGAACCACCAATGTTGGTTCACGCCATCCGCTTACCACATGTTTGGAAAGCAAGAATAGAAGTTTGGTCGATGAATGAAAACAACAAAACACCAAGTCAACGTTTCCCCCGATCCCCTTCTCAAGTCATGTACGTCTTGGATGCTTGATGGGGATCGCAACCTAAACCAAACAATCCATGTAGGTGATGTATATAATTAACACCCTATGAATAAATCCCTGTTTATTAGTATGGGGGTGTCCCTGGTTTTAGTGGGGATTGTTACATTTGGAGGAACACCCCCAACATTACCAACATTTCATCCCTTTTGAGGGTACATGTGGGCAAATAATACGGATTGCTTGGGTAAGCCGAGAAAGAAGGAAAAAAAACGGATGCCATGCTGCCACGACTTGAGGTTGTAAAGTCCCTGAGCTTCGTGCCACACGACTAAAAACAAACCAACACCCCCGCGCATAACGCAGGGATCTACCCATTGGGTCTGGACTAAACACGTAGATGCAACAAAACGCTTTCGATTCCTTTCGGCTTTCGAGTCGATGCGCATTGGTCGCCCAAATCAATATCTGTTCAATTGGACATTTGCAGAAAAGATGGTGTCATGATCATGTTTGGGTACGGAACAACAAACCAGCCAGGCAGGGGCCGGCGTTTCTTAAGGGTATGCTTTGGATTTGGCTTAAACGAGCCAACATGAAAACCGAGACAAGTTCAAGTGGGTTGCAGGGGAAAGGGCTCGTGTTGTTGGGGATAAACAAACATGCGACCTTAAAGACAAGTACCTGTGAGCTCCCAAAACCAGATCCCCTGCACATGTGCAAACCAAAGCATGCAGACATCCCAGAGCTGATCAATGCGAATTTCAGATTCCGCGGGAGGCTAGTCAAAGGAACCTGCAAAGATAGATCTCAGATCCTTTCCGATTGCCCGCCCTGTTTGTTGCATTCACGGTCCGGAGGAATCGTAACATCGGGCTTGTTGTTCACCACTTCCAAGTAGCTCCCGGACCCATTAAATTTGCAAACTTTACAAAGAGATCCAAAAGCTGAATTCAGGATTGGATCCAAGTAGTTCGTCTCTTTCCCATAAGCTTGTCTTGCTGGTGCTCAGCACGGAAGGAGGGAATGAACCTTATAAACCATCCAACTGGTGGTTTGGTAGGGGACCAATCGCACCAGCCAGTCGTTATACCCTCGCCATTTGGCAGATTTTAACCGACCCTTCCGGAGCCCAACTTGCTGGTGCGATAGGGAGGGAATGAGAAACGGAATAAACCCAGTCGCTTTGGTCCCCTTTTTCAGGAAACCACCAGTCGGATGCTGCAGCTGGGATCCATTCCGTTTCTCATTTCCCCCCTTTTTTCGCCCTGCACTAAATTGATGGTACACATCATTTTTTGCCTTGGCTTAAAAAAAACCAGCTGAGTCGCCATTTTTGCTGTGGCGGACCTGGATAACCCCCAAGCTCCCTCCAGGAGTCGAGAGGAATGTCCTTGAGGCGCTGCTCGAAGTCTGCGGAGGCCACCTCAAATGGCCGCGCGATCTAGGCTCCCCCAGTCGGCGGGTCCAATCAAGTCCCTAGGCTGCAACGGTCTTATGCCCCCCAACCGCCCCTCACAAAAAAAAAGAGAAAGAGAACATGAGACGAAAAACCAGCGCGACATGGCCTTCAAGGAAGCAAACTAGGAGAAGAAGTTTCTTGGCTGAAAAAGTGTCGTTTGACGAGCCCTCAAAACGGGCTAAACCCACAAATTCCAAGCAACAAGCTTAGGCTGAAGCTCTGTCAAGATGGGCTTGGAAAACATCGCGTAAACCTAGAGGTGAACATCAAGCATCATGTACACCAGCATGTAAACCAGGGCAAACGAAGGGGGTTTGATTTCAATTTTGGGGGAGGTCTGCGGGAGGGGTGGTAGGGTGTGCTTTCAGGGTTCCCTTTTCAAGGTTGGCTCAACGGGAATTCAGCCAGAAAACAGACATTACAAGTATTCTCCCCTCTAGGATTATCTTCCCAAATAAAGCCACACAATGCAAACTAACGCCACATGAGCCAAATCGACGTCAAACAACCCACGTTTTGTCCACCCTCCCCCTTCCCCCTTCCCCCGAACGCCCCCTTCCCCACAGCCATCGCGGCTTCCGCTCGCGTCTCTCTCGCCGTCCGCGCCGTCCGTTCCAAGTTCCGAGCTCCGGGCGTGGCGTACGCCGGGCGCCACCTCCAGCAGTTGGCCCTTGGCCGCCGCGATGCGCGGGGCCTCCGCGTCGAGGTCCGCGGGCGCAAGGAAGTCCAGCGACCCAGCTGGCGAGGGGAGAGGCTGACCCCGCGGAAAAAAAGACGGGGGGCTCGTCTTTTTGGGGGAACCGAAAATGGGTTCCAACGGTTTTCTGGTGGAGGGCCCATCAAAACCACAGAAAAGGAGATCCAACTCCAATGGGGACCCCTCAGAAATGGTCGGCGCTGCCTTTATTTGACCCCCCCCAAAAAAAAAACAAGGAGCACCCTCAAAAAAGACACTCCCAAATGATGTCCACCAAAGGGTCCCTGGTTAAACATCAGACTTGAGGCGGCGTCAACGGCGGTAGCGCTGAGAATGGGGAGACACCCCATGAAAACGGGTCCCAAAATGGAATGACCGAATGAGGATTAACCAAAAATGGGAGGGAGGTTTCCATTGCATTGGATTCCCTGTTGAATTCGTTTTGGGATGCCCTTTAAGTTTCCTTGGCTGCTGCTTGGCGTCTCTTGGATTTCCTTTTGCCCGCAAGGGCCTTTTTTTGTAATGCTCGCTTCTGCTCATACTTCCTGTGCTCTGAATAAGGAAAATGAGTATGACCTCTTTTCCTGTGTACCCCTTCTTACACGCGTCCACCAAATAGCTTCATGCTGGCAGCGTTATTGTGTTTATCCGTGTTGGTTTTGGGTAGGGCAGAGCAACCTGTAGACCCTGCAAATGGTCAAGGCCAAGCAATGGATACGGATTGCTATGTTTGACGGGTTGATGCCAAGCGAGACAGGGCCCGGTCTTAGATTGGGATTCCACTTATCCTCTGGTTGTGAGGGGCCCCCCAAAGACCCCATGGCAATGATCCCCACAAGGAACCCTATTAGCCTCTAATAGAATTGGGGAATCGGCCCGTATTGGGGAATTGGCCCTTGAAAACCACAAGATTTTGAGGGGTACTTAGGAAGTCCTGGTGGGCTCCGAGGCTTAACCACTTGCCTGACATACCGAATCCATCGCCTCAATTTTCCGACCCTTCCCGACATTCAACCTATACTTCCCCCTATTTCTGGTGGCCTTACATGATATTTCACCAAACCGAACCTCCTGTGGATGGCCAAAATCCGTTCGCACCACGAAATGAGCATGATATTTGTTTTGGGGAATCGCTTCTCATAACCCAGGGTTGTTTCTTGCTGTAGGTGGTGCAAAACAGACTTCGCCACCATCCGCAGGGACGACCGATCACTCCGATCGATCTCGGCTCACCTCCGCAGAGCAGCGCCGGAAGCCCCAGGCGCGCCACAAAGAGGCCTGCAATCAGTCCCTCTTCCCGCCGGTTGCGCGGAGACTGCAGGAGGAGCTGCTGTTTCTCTTGGGTGCTGGTGCTGTCCCCCAGCAAAAAGTTTACCTTTTTGCTGGCTAAAAGGAATATGAGGGGAAAAAGTTTACCGTTTTGCTGGCTAGAAGGAGATGTCTAAAGATCCAAGAAAGATCCTACCCTACCCCAAAAAACATCGGCACCGGGGAATCCAAAAAGTTAAAGTCTAAAGATCCGACCCAGCAGTACAGTTTTGGTCCTTTTTGTGGCGGACGAGGCCCGCCAGTCGGAAAAAACCCAGCGTCAGCTTACCTCAGATTTGCTGCCTCTAGCCAAACATGATACATATATGTATGGTGTTTGATTCTGGCCAAGCTTCATGAACCTTTCTGGGGGGTCGTCTTGGGGCTGATTTCCCTTTGAATGTCACTTTGAGGTATTTTGAAGGTAATTCGAGGGGTAATTCGAGCCCTGGATTTTGGAGACACCCGAGGTTTTTTGCTAGAAATCCGAAGCCAAAAACACGGGATGAAGCAGGTGCATTCCAACGGCTAAATAAAGCAAACCTTTAAACTGAAAGTGATTGTCCAGTGTCAATCTGAGCTGAGGGGTGGTGACAATCCTTGTAAGAGATCCAGCCGAACAATGGCGAGCTGAAACTGGGGGGGGGGGGGGAACGAAATCTCATCTGCACAAGTGGGGGCGGGCCCTGTTGATGTTGACCCCGGATTGATACACCCATCCTATGAATAGAGGGGTGGCACCCATAAGAAACGAAGAATCCCCACTGAAAGGGGTCACCCCCCGACAAAATCAATCAGGTTATTAATTAATCCACGGTTCACCAGAAGGTCCATGTCAGAGGAAAATGTCTGATCTTCCAGGACCTGTTTCAGGGTTTTTCCCGCAACATGACTTCGGTTTGCCTGGTTTCCCACCCAAAAACAGGGCTACCCTGCACAAAAACTTGTAAATACCCCAAAAGGCGGGTTTTCCAGGAGGATTCCCAATAAAGAACCACCCAAAATCAAGGATACCCTGTAGATAAAAAGATAACTAGCCCAAAATGAGGGGTTATAAAGATAAATAGCCCAAAATGAGAGGTTTTCCTGGAAAGCACCCGGAGAATTTGGAAAACTGACCCAAAGGACTTCCCCCCCCTCGGGTGGGCGTACCATCTCCAGAGATCTCGCGCCTGTGCCCACCAGCAGCGCCACGCAGCAGCAGCACCCGGACCGGTCCTCACAGAGCGGAAGCCCCGAAGCTTCCGAAACGGACAGGGACCCGCGGGTCACGGGTAAAATGAGCCAAGAAAGCTACATGCGCATTGCTAGGTCCTCCAAATTTGAGAACATTTTGGAACAAGGCTACCAACTTTGTTGCTTTTTGTCTATTTTAGTAGGGAACCCTCCCCCAAAAAGGGGTAAAAGGGCACTACTGGGGGACCGAAGTTATATACATAATATGATATCTACCTCGTAGCACGGAATGAGTGGAAAAAAACGTGAATACGTCTACCTCGCAACATTAAGGGTCCGTCTCGCACCTTGTATTTCGGGGCCTTCCTTGCCTCTTAAAAAAGGGATGCAAAACTGGAGGGGGGTTCGAGCCAGGTGTAGTGTTGCAACCTTTTTTCCTCAAACGTCTGTGTTTTCAAGCTTTTTTCGGGCCAATGTTTCTGCTAGAAAAAAGCTTGAAAACACACACGTTTGAGAACAAATCTGGCCCTTATTTGTTTTTCATCAGGTTCTCAAAAACCAGCAGAGAAGGGCCGAATTTTCTCAAGAATGTACGTGTTCAAGCTTTTTAGGGCCGAATAAGAAGAAACTGCCGGTTTTTGAGAACCTGACGCCCGTCTTAATGAGAGACAGAGAAGGGCTGGAGTCTCTCAAAAGTGTGGTTTCAAGCTTTTTTAGGGCCAAATCAGCAGAAACGCTTGGTTTTTGACAATGAGAGACAAAGAATGGCTGAATTGTCTAAAACGTGTGTGTTTTCATGGTTTTTATAGCCAATATTCTCAAGTATGTGTGTAGTCAACCACACTTTGCGTGGTAGCCACCGAAGATACAACCCCAGTGAAAAACACCCAACAAGTTTGAGAAACCATTATTTCGGAAACCCCCTCGCAATTCGGGGTTTGGGGCTCGTTTTAAGGCCAGTGGGCTCGCCATTATTTGTCTAGAAAATATTGCACCATGTTTAAGCCACAACCATATGTCCATGGGTCAAAATCCCGTACCCCCAGTGAACATCCCAATCCCCACTAAAATAAAGCCCAAAATGGGTGGTGTGCGCACCTACCCCAAAATGCTACCATTGGTTTGACCCACAGCCATACTCCGAGATCCCTGGAAGAATTGCAGCTGGATCGAAAGCGGCCGCGGCGCGGTGCGGAACTTCTGCAAGAACTCCGCGTCCACATCCTCCACCGACGCGCTGAGCGCCTCGCAGAGCCTCGCTTGAGCCGGTCCGGGGGACGGGGGGGGCTGTTCCTTTGAAGGGACCAACCCACCCAACAACCCCCCCAAAAAAAAGACAGGGACACCACCCGAAACTTGTTTGGCAAGCATTTTGGGGGGATTGACCGGAAAACAAGGGAAAAGCAAAAAGTAAAATTGGTTGCCAACAATGGAAAACGCTGTTACATGCTGTTGGGTCAAAACATCGATTTGCTTTGGTTGCTCCCAAGAATGTGTTCCCGGAGACCACTTGAAACGAACTGCGAACAGCGGGGGCCACGCCCCCCAAAAAAAGCTGTGGCTCGATTCATGGCACTGGTAAATGGCACCTTGGTTTTTTTGGAACCAAAGACCAACACCTACGGTTTGCCCTAGCTCTTCCTGGAGATTCATTCTCCGCGAATTTCCTGGTAGTTCTCGTCTTTAACTTGCTTTTCCCAAATAATTATTTTTCGCCTGGTTTACTTTTGAGCCACCCAAATGATCCCCTCGGTTTCCCCTGGTTAACCACCCCCGGCAGACCCAAAAACCACCCTCCACTCGCTCTCCCGCCGCTTCGAGCCCTGGGCCCCGCGCGACTCCGCCAGGCTGCGCGCCGTGCCCGACAGCTTCGCTAGCCGCGGCAGCAGCTTCCTTGGCGCTGAGCCCCCCGTTGGGCGTCAAAGTGAGTCGTAATCAAAACCACGTCCTATGTTTGAATCAAGCCCTATTATCAAAACGTGGCTAGACTGGTTTCCTATGTTTAAAACAAGCCCACGTGAATCACAATCAACACCTGGTACTAAAATGCTCATAATCCCAGAAGCATGTACAGGATTCAGAAGGCGGATATCCGCAGCTATTTATGGTTGGGATCGTCCCTTACTAGCCTTCATCTAACCGGGTTTTGAGCACGTGGCTCAAGTGGGGCTCCCAACCGCCAATCCAACTAAAGGGTTGCAAGTACCTGAGGGAAATGCAAGGGATAAACCGGATAAACCACTGGGTAAGTTACAAGTACCCTGATAGGAGGGAAATGACAAGTACCTGATAGGAGGGAAATGGGACGGGATTGGGTGAGAGGAGCCGAGCTTCTTGTGGAAGTTCTGCGCCGCGAACTCCGAGCACCTCGCGGCAAGAATCCACTCGCGACCGCGAAAGGGGGGCGGGGAGGGTATGGTGGACACCTAGAGTCTATTTTGCAACCTCCTTCTTTTATTTAGGATAGTGGTTTTTCAGGGTTCTTGGTTGCAAAACAGACTCCAGGCGTCCATGGAATTTGTCTTTTTTTTTGGGGGGGGTCCGAAGACAAGCCCCGCGCTTTGGCCCGAAGTGGCCGCCGTAGACCGCGAAGAGCGCCACGGGCTTCTGAATCGAAATCGGCGCTTCGACGGCCGCAGCGAAATCGGCGAGTGGCCGCGGCGGCCGCGCGGTGCGGGTTTGGGATGGTTCAAGCTGGAAAAAAAACAACAACTAGGTCCTCCAGATTTGAGAGGTTAGAAAAAGTTGGTACCAACTTTTTTTCGGTAGTCTAATTTAGTAATTAGGGGAAGCCTCCCCAAAAAAGAAACAGTCAAAGGGCACGATCCTGGGAAACCTGGACAAGTGAGACATGATGCGGCAGGCGTTGAAACAAACTCACGAAGGAGAGTTTGGTGCCAGGGTGCCTGGAGAATCAAGGACAGACAAAGTCGGTAGGTTGGTGCCAGCCAGCGAAAATGTCCTGATTGTCTTTTGAGGGTGCCTGCTTAAAGGTTGGTTTCAGGGTGGAGCATCTTATTGAAAAGAAGTCGGCGGTGACTGGTGATCCTCATCGCAGCCCGCAAAAGCGGAACCCCCCCAGCACTAGCCCCCGGCAGCCGTTTTTTTTCCACATGGATCTGTCTTCTTTTGGGGTGTAGTTTGTCTGGTTGGTTCTAAAGGGAAACCGTAAGGGACACCAAAGCCATTCTTGGGGAAAAAAGACACACCCAAATATAGGGACCCTGAACCACTCTTGGAATTTCAACTCAATCAAGTTCATAGGCTGTGGCCCGTTGAGATGGTTTGAGAGTTAGCTCATTAAGCAGTCTATTCCAGTTGAGGGAAAACTGGAGCTCGACATGCCAACCACAAGACTACCCGATTTTTCCGCATCCCCACTACGACTCCCCAACATCAGTGATGATGATCATCACAATCGTGCATCCTCTGCATCACCAGTCATGCTGATAATCATGATCACGCATTTTTCTGCATCTCAAGTTTCGGGCTGCCATCATCCGTCATAAGGTAAAATCCAAAACTACCCGATTTTTCCACATCCCCGTCACGAAGTAAAATCCCAAAACCCGACTTTTCCCGCATCGGCGTGAGGAAAACTCCTCGAATAGTTCGAAACCGGACTCGCCTCCAGTTGCAGAGGCATCTTCAGCGCCTTCCCCGCCGCCAGCAGGTCCTTCACGATGACCTCAAGCGAAGGCTTGCTTCAGCGGGCAAACGGGCGGCTCAAAGACATGGCCATGAACCCAGTGCTACTTTTGGAGGTGTCTGAACCGTCGGGTTGTGGTGGGCGTCTCTTTCTTGAGAGTTGTTGGATTTGGCCATGGGTCAAAATCCAAATCGTACCCCCAGTGAACATCCCAATCCAACCACTCACATCCCGATGGGTGGTGAATTCACCACCTACCCCAAATGGGACCCCATGGCTTTTGAACCACCAAATGAGCCGCCTGGGCTGTTGAAAAAGGAGGCAAGCCGCCAAGCCGATGGTCCATCCCAGGGAAGCCACCGAAGGCGTAACCCAAGGGAAGGAGATGAACCAAATTGCCTTTCAACCGCCCAGGCAGATCGAAAGCAGAATGCTTTGCTTTTGCCAAAAGGGTGCTGAAACCATGGTTTAACATGTTCAAACTAGTCTAGGCGCTCTGGAGGCAGCTTCAAAGGAGCATGTGGCTCGCGCAAGATCGGGGGGGCTTGTTCTGTCCCCAACGCATCTTCTCAACTCACAGGACCCCCCAAACACTCTGACACACACACACACTCACTTACACCCAAACATTGGCTCCAGGGAAGACTGGATGCAGACTGCAGAGGTACTGGCCAACGAAGTTGACGCTGCAAAGAGAAACAACGAGCATCTGGCTCAAGCAGTGATCTTTTGTAACTGGCTAAGGGGATTGTAGGGATCCCAACTCTGGTCGAGACCGTTACACATCTACCAGGTGCTTAGCTTGAGGCTCTGGATTTGAACCGCTGGACCCGAAGCAACACGTCCCACCGCATGGGCATCTTTGGATTGAAGATGTCCAATGCTGAGAAAAACGGTGGAAACCATCATGGTTGCAAGATGTGGAAACAAACCTTCCCAGGCCCCTTTTGGACTAGCTTTCCTTCTGTATATATATATATATATTTACATTTATATTTATATATCTATATATATATATATTCCCAGCTCTTTGCAAAGGAAAGGTTGCCTGGGTTGTGCATGAAAAGAACGAGAGAGCAACCCTTAAGACCTTGTGAGAATGGACCCCAAAGAAGCATGCACGACATTCTTTGCAAATCAGAAAGTGACTATGTTGGTTTCCATTTGCAAGAAACGGATTTGCAAAAAAAATGGAGCAAAAGCAAAGCTGAAAAGCTGTCCATGTTTGAACCGAACCCGGAAATGTCAAAGGATGGCATTTGAGTTCTTCCAGCCACGGCGCCAACACAGAGCCAAGGCAAACTGAAACAAGGACTTGAGGCAACTGCTTCTTGGGCAGGAAACTTGTAACTTCTGGCCAATATGTACAGGCCTCCCTGCGAAGAGTGACTAACTTTCAGCGGTTGAATACGGAAAACCCATTAGTTGGAAAAAAGAAGTTAAAGTCCCAGCATCCAAGCAAAATGCAGCAAGGTATATATTTCTCCATCTATTCATGCATCTAGGCATACATGAAACAGTATATATACGTGGTTCAAAATTGAGGTTCCCAACATGGAACCCAAGTAAATCAAACCAAGGCCAAAAACCTGCGCTCCCCTGGTGGTTTAATCTTGACCCATACCCATATGACCCGAGTTGAAGACAACACATGACCATGCAGAATAAAAGGACCGCTCAAGTCAGTGGCTGATGCTTACAGCTTCTCGCTGCACCCAGCGAAACAGGTGGGCCCCTTTATTCTGGTGTGTTTTTCCGTTGGTTTCCTTTGAACGAACCTGAAACTCGTTTTCATCACAGACACACAGCACACAGACACACGGACACACAGACACACAGACACACAGACACACAGACACACAGACACACAGACACACAGACACACAGACACACACACAGGCACACAGACACACAGACACACAGACACACAGACACACAGACACAACACACAGACAAACAGACACACAGACACACAGACACACAGACACACAGACACACAGACACACAGACACACAGACAAACAGACACACAGACACACAGACACAACACACAGACAAACAGACACACAGACACACAAACACCCGCGCGCGCACAGACACACAGACACACAGACACGCAGACACACAGACACACAGGCACACAGGCACACAGACACAACACACACAATAAACACACAAAACACACACACACACACAAAACGCACAAAACACACACACACACAGACACACAAACACACAGACACGCAGACACACAGACACACAGGCACACAGGCACACAGACACAACCCACACACAATAAACACACAAAACACACACACACACACAAAACACACAAACACACACACACACACACACACACACACACACACACACACACACACACACACACACACACACACACACACACACACACACACACACACACACACACACACACGCACACACACACACACACACAAACAAACAAACACAAACAAACACCAACACCCGCGCGCGCACGCGCACATCTCACAGCAAGGGCCCCTTCCGTTCGCTCGTTCGCCGTGCGTCCCGGCGTGCCGGTCCAGATGGGCTTCCTCTCGGCCTCGGAGTCGGCGCGGGCGAGGGCTGCGGAGCAGCCCTGTCAGTTGGATGACGCCCACTCGATGTGGCCATCCCTTGAACGCCCCTTGACAAAAACACAGCAAACCAAACAGGGAGTGTCCATCTCCAAGCCTCCCAACAGAAAACATGGCCATGGTCAGAATCCAAATCGTACCCCACTAAAGTCCCGACTAAAATGGGTGGTGCACCTACCCCAAAATGGTACCAATAGTTTTGACCCACAGCCTGGCGTCCTTTAATTAGTTGGCATCCGTGTGTCACAAAGTGGCCAACCTTCGGCTGTCTGGAGGGCATTCCCAACAGTCAAGCAAGCAAAATGGTATTTTTGGAAAACCCGCAAGATGTTCCTATTCGGAGCCCACCGAACCTGACAGGTCCTACTGAACTATGCGCCGTCCACTATGTATGTTTTATCTTTCACACCTCTCGTGAGAGAGCACATCACATGTATTGAGTTTCTGTAGTTCATTAGATGGATACTCCCCGGATCAATTTGGAACCCAAAAATATGTCACCTGGCCATCTTTAGAGGCACATTTTGTTTGAGGCTTTGGTGTCAACTTGCTTTGGTGTCAACTCCTCGTGGTTCAACTCCTTGCTCAGAAGTTGGAATGACCTGGATTGACCCGAAATAAACTTATGTTGGGCAATCCCAGCCAAACGCAATAAAACTGGTTGTAGTTAAAAATACAAAATAAATACACCCGGGGATACAAGTGGGAAATACAAACAGCATCAAACCACCCCTGCCTTTTTTCCTAGGCTTCCCCGCTTCCGGTTCACTCCCCAAAGCCCGAGATAGGTCTTGTGTGAAGGGTGGACCCCCGTCAAATGGCTTCGGTTTTTCAGGGATCCTTACATTATACACCTGAACATTGCCTTGTAAATGGTGGTGTCACTTTATTTTGGTGGAAAAAGCCATGTTTCACATGGTTGCAAAATTTATCTTTTCAGGAGCCCTGTTTTTGTCTTCTTGTTCTCTTTCTATACCTACGAGACTCCCCCAGGGCTTATGGAAGAAGACGCGACCCCTCCACAAATCAAACCCCGGCGGTTTTTCCTGACCGAATGGGAGCGTCTGGGCACAAAACGGGCCTCAACTAGGTCCTCGAGTAGAGAGGGTACCCTTTTTCTGTAGTCTATTTTAGTGGGCGAACCCTCCCAACCAAAAAGGAGTGAGAAAGGGCAATAGTGTGGGGACCTTGTCAACCACAACAAAAAATCCCACGACCTGCAACGGCTGAGGCCGCGGGCCCTGCATGAAGCTGGAGTGCGCCGCAAACTCCAGCACCTGCCATAGGCCGAAGCTTTGGGGTGATTAGCCCTTTAAATCCACTCAACACAAAAAAATACAGAAAAAAACCCTCAACAAAGTACAAAAAGAACCCTTTCAGCCTACTCAACAACAAAATACAGAAAAAATATTGGAAAAAAAGAAGTACCCTCAAATGACTGGGTTGCTCCAAGCGCACAAAAGGTCGTCATCCACCTTTGTAGGGAGCCACACCAAAGACCGGATCGTGGTGTCTGGTGGCTTCGCTTTCAACAAAACGGGAAGTTTTCCCGACTCCAACAAAAGGGAAGGTGCCAACTCCCAAACCTCTAGGGGATGACCGCGTAGAGGAAACTCACGCCAAGCGCTTGCTAGTTCTAAGCACTCCATTCTTTCTAGGCAGCCTTCTTCTGGAAAGTTGCCAAACAATTGAGGAATGTTGGTGGTTTTGCAAAAGAACAATGGGGGAAAGAAGAAGGGTGTCCCTTTGGCCTCCTTTGGGATTTCCCTCAGCACCCCCGAAAGAGGCACCACCTCCCGATATTTTAAGGGGTGACTTGCTTCCCGTCGCCACCCAGGTTCCCGCTTCGGGACTCAAAAGTGCCAACAAGTCGGTGAGCCATTGCTGCACCACTTGGTAACAAGGACGGGGAAGTTTCCGCCACAAGGGACACCGTCTTCACCTTTGCAACTCAAAGGTGCACCGAAACTGAAGCCAAAGCGAGACGGTCACGATTTTTTTCCGGGAGACCTTGTGTTCAAAGAAATGTATTCCCTGGTTCTAACCACCATTAAAACTATCGGGGTTAATATAACCACCACTATTTACCTGAGGATTTTCATCATCCAAATTGGGTCAACCATTCTTTTCATGGGGGTTGAAGCCCAGGGTAGTAGGAAACAAACGCCACTGGTCCACCTCAACGAGTGTCCCCCGTAGCACCACCAAACATCATGCTTCTCAAAATAGGGGTCCCCCTTTTGGATGCGTTTAATGGAAAGCGAAAAGGACACCAACCACCTGAAAAAGTGGGGGAATCACCCTTGAATGCTCTGCCGCGGAGGAAGTGGCTCATCTTCTTCGAGATCGCAATTAGCCGGTAGTCCCGGTCCATGTTCACGCGAGGGACATGACCCATCTCGTCAATCTCCAGCCACTCACACTGCTCGGCGGGCTTGTTGGCGCTCATCTTCCTTTGACCCAGTCAGCCCAGAAGACCTTTCCCTGCACAGGATCTTGAGGCTTTTTCGACCGAAAATCCCCACTAAACCCAGGTTGACCCCCCCCCTAATGAACTGGGGTTGACGAACAATGGGGGCAACAATACAGGAACCGGGCATTTGGCTGTGGGTCAAAAACAGATACCACAAATGAAACCCTAGTAAAAGGAAACATGGACCAACATCTGCAGTCCCTGGTGGTAATTTTGACCCATACCCATTTGACCATGGCACACATAATAGTGACACATAAAGCCAATACAGAAAGCTTCCATTTGGTTGAGGGCCCAGGAAAACATTTAAACAAAAATGTCCAGAAGTGATGAATTCCTTTTCAAACCAACAAGGAGCAAAAACTAAAAAACATACATATATAGAAATATATGTGTATATATATATATGTATTCTTAAGCAAATGGAGGAAAGCTGGGCCCTGGCCCTCCCGAAGCGCCTGCGGATCCCCGGCGAAGTCCCCCCGCTCCGCCGCCTTGGGCGCCACTTTGGGCGCCGCCTTCCTGGCCTCGCCTCGGGGTGAATCTTCCGGCGCGGCCCGTTTTCAGATCCGGAAGCGGAAACCGAGCTGGTGGGTTTCAATGGAAACCCCGAAAAACTCAACCAACTACCCTTCCCAGCATGGCACCAGGGGGATGGCACCTGACAGGGGGCCCTCAAAGAGGTAGATTATCGTCTAGCTACCCTCCCGCAGGTGCCATGTTAGTGGAAGGAAGGGTAACAACCTAAAAACCTAAGTGAGGACTGGACGGCTGGGGATTGCCAAGGATTTGGCCCACTTCGGTTTCCCAAACTGGCAGGGACGCAGTTTTGGGACCTTCATGGGCTTGCGCTCGCTTTTATTCCAAGCCAAGCTGGCCGAGTTCTTTCGAGGCATCACCTTGGACGCATATTTCTCGGGGGGATGTCCTGGAACACTCCGAGGAAGGTGGCCGGCTTGCCCGGCTCTGTGGCTATGAGGGCACGAGAGGGTCTGGGAAGTCCCCCGTTTTCCTGGGCAGGGCTCCGAAAAAAATGGCAGACAAGAGGTAAAAAAAAACGCTTGGGCGAACAGGAAGTGTACTTAAGCGAGGCTTCCTGCTCCCTAGCACCAAAGTGAGGTGCAGCTTACCCAACAAAGCAAAACAAACTGGAAAGGGAGCCCTCAGATCAGAGAGCTCGTTTGTGGCATCTTCACCTCCACCAAGAAACTGGCATTCTTACATACCAAGCGCACTGTTTCCCTACCAAAGCACCCGCAAGAAAACGAGAGCTCGAACCCAGCCCCCTTCCCTGTCCCTTATGAGAAGCCGCTCCAGAACTTGGCCTCTTCGGCTCCCCCCAGCCTGACTTACAATCGCCTGGCTGTCTGGTCCGATGGTCCCATGGTTTGGCGGTCCGCTGCCCCGATGGGCCGCTGGTCAAATATCTGTCCGACGGTTCGCTGTGGTTCGATGGCCCGATGGCCCGATGGTCCGCAATCCAATGGTCCGCTGGTCCGATGGTCCGCCGGCAGAAGGCTCACGAGCGCCCCGCCCTCCCCCCCTCCCCCCGAACTGCAGGCCTCTGGCGCCCAATTTCCACCGGCCGAGCTGCGGTTCTGCCGCGCCTCCTGCGCTGCCTCCGTCGCCAGCTGCGCCGCCTGCGCCGCCTGCGCCGCCGCCGCCTTGCCTCCGCGGCCCGTTTCGGGCCGGCTGGGCGGGTAAGGGGCAGAGGGGAGGGGGGAGGGGGGGGAGGGGAGGGGAGGGGAGGGGAGGGGAGGGGAGGGGAGGGGAGGGGGGAGGGTGTGCTGCTGAAATTTCAAAAAACGGCTTCCCTTGAGATGGTAGATCTTCAATGGTCGGCCAGGTCGTGCGTACCAAAATAGGCCCTTGGTAGAAAGTAAGCTTTTTGCCAGGGGAAATATGAAGCTAAGAAGGCAGAAAGTCAAGAAGACGAGCTAATTCCGCCCTTTTGGGGTGAGGTTGGACTTTGCAAATTGGCAAACCCAACCATTGGAACACTTGCGTGCTGCAAATGTTTCGGCGCATTGATTTGTGAGTTCCTGGCATGACAATAACGCACTGCAATGCAAGTGGTTCTTTCCCAAAAGCCAAATCTGAGAACTCCAACTGGGTGAGCCCGTGTCCCCTTCACGTACTCAACGATGCACAATTCCACAAGGTGAACTCCAACTGCGGGTTGATTAAAAGGTCGCTTACATGGGATGGCCATTGGGGAACACCACTGGGAAAACTGGGGGAAGTTACCCATGGTCATTTGGGGAGCCCACTGCCCACCCCCAACCATCAAGCGAAAAGTTGGTTAAAATTCAGAATCCTTGAAACCATGCAAACCATGGAAACCTTGGACACTGCCATGGAAACACCATGGACACCAAAACAAACACATCTTCAACAAACACGGAGGAGGCGTGGACAAAAATCCCAACATCCGCCACGAACGGCCACTTTCTCTTTGGCTCGGCGGTTCCTTCCCTTGAACCGATCGGTCCGCCTGCGCCCTTGCCACCCCAGATCTTCTCTGCCTACCGCGCGAGCAAGGACCCCCAAGAACCAGGAAGCCCAAGGAACTTTTTTTTTTTCTGTAGTCTGTTTTAGTAAAAAGGCGAAGAGGGCACTACCGAGGGACCTAGTTAAGGAAACTTAAAGGAACCCAAAGGAGAAACCCCCTTCAACCCCCCCCTTCCCTTTACATGGCTATCCAGAATTATCTTACAACATTGGGCGATTCAACCCCTTGTTTAATCATGTCCAAAGCCTTATGGGTGGAATTTCAGTTGGTTGGACCCTTTGATGCACATCAGAAGGAAACTCAAAGCAAATGGCGTCCACTACTCCCGAGCCGGGGCTACCGCGAAAACAACCAGGGCAGAAATGGAATACACAACTGCAAGGCATAGCTACATGGGTGTGCATTTTAACAGGGGACCTCTTGGTGGGCAGCATGGGGATTAATGTCCACCGACCATTTTGGAGGTTCCAACTCTTAACAAAAACATAGCCAACCGGCAGTTGCAGCTTTGGCTCAGGCGTTGCGCGGGTGGTCGCCACACCCCATGTCACAGAACTGTCTGGTTGTTCACGGTGAATATGTTGTGCTTGTTGGTTGACTTATCTGTTGATCGGCTTGAACTTTCGGGGTGTTGGGGGGGGGGTTGGTTGGGGGTTGCTTTTATGTGCAGATTCCCGGGGTGTGAAAATTCCTGCAACCAATCCAATGCGCGGATTCAGCAGGCTTGAAAAGCGCAAGGTCACAGGGGTCTACGCTTTTGGCAAAATGACAAGATGGAATTTCCGACTTGGCGTGGATCAAGTCGCAAAAATGGGCTATCAAGCAGCTTCCGTCTTGCCCAAAGTTCCATTCCACAGGGCTTCAGGTCCAAATCCACCGAGCTCCGAACCAATTCGGGGTATCAAAGTCCAGATGTACTGTGGATGGACTTTGACTCCTACACCACTTTGAAACCATAGGAAACATAACGTTGGTTGGAATTTGCAGGGAAAGCGAACCATTCCAGGGTTTGCTAGGGTGGATTTCGTCCATCCACCGTATCTCACAAAAGGAAAGGCTCCGTGTGTGCAAAAGGCGCAACTGAAAACACGTCGGGAGGGATTTGTGTGATTCCTCTAGATCTGCAAATTGGGATACGGTGGAGTCTCCAAAGCAGCCAGATCCAACCACACAAGCGACGGTGAACTGCAGTAAAACACAGCTTGTCCCATGCTCGCCTGGCAATATTTAGGTCATCCAGCGTATGAAATGGTTATAATCGCGTGATGAAATGAGGTTGCTGTGGCGTTGCCAGCTGCGCGACACGCTCAATTGAAAGGAACTGGGGGGGATTGACAGGCTGAATGAGTGCCAGTCATGGTCGCGAGAATGTGCCGGCTCAAACCTGTGGGTGGCCAGATCTCAAAAATGGGTGCTGTCTTGTTTTACGACTCGGACCCAACAAACTGTGGCTGTCTTGTGGGTTTTCCTTCAGCAAGCCCTCCACTGCCAGTCTTGCATTTCAGGTTCAAGGTCATGGCAAGCATGTCGGGGGTTGATCAAAAGCTCCGATATACATGGGATGACCAGTGCGGAAACCACTAAAAAGATGATACGTGCCACTAAATGGAGAAAGGTTACCCATGGTCATTTGCCCTGAATGGAATATTGATCAACCCCCGTGTGCCTTACCATGGTTGTCTAGAATCGCGAGGTGATGACCATCCGCGTCAAATGGGTCTTCCCAGTCTTCTCATAGCACCTGCGAGTTGACTTGTGGTCCAATATGTCGGGCACCCATCTGTTTTTGGGCTCCAAACCCTCTTTTGGGGAACACCTAAACCAAAAAGCAAAATGGAGGCACAAAAATGCATTGTCACACTTCAACCCAACACACTGGTGACCGGTCCAAGCGAATTATGAAGTCGCTCAGTGGTCAGGTAGGGCATGCGTCTGTGGTTGGACAACTCCCCCTTGTGCAGATCCAGTCAATAAACCAAAAGGTAAAATGGAGGTCCAAAAAATCCCAATCAGCTTCCGTTTGGTTCAAACAACTCCCTAGAGCAAAAAGCCAACGACCGTCTGTGGGTTGGCAGAATCCCCCATCCAAAGATGCCCGCCCCAGGGTCCGCGCCTCCCACTGGAAGGTCCCGTCAGACATGGCGCTGCTCGAGGCTTGCGACGGGGGGGGGGGGGGTTGGCACGGGGCGCACGGGGAGAAGCGGCCAAGCGTCTGGTTCTGGTGCCAGGTGTGCACCTTTGGGACGGGAATGCCCAGAACCGCCAGATCTACCACTCCGAATGCTCAAAGATCCAGCCTGAATCGCAAGGTGAGCTTCTCCAAACCAGTGCTCCCAAAAAAGAATGCCACAAGCCTCCGACTTCAAAGAGCTCCAGAACTGGAAATTCAAATCAAAGCTCCTCAGGGTGTTTTTCCCTTTTGCCAAGTGTTCCAATTGACACGTGGCCATCTCTTGACGAGCCAAGCACTTCCGAAGCACTTGATCCGACCGCGGGGCGGCGCCGTGTTGAGAGACTCTCCGTATGGGTAGATTACTACTGGCAACTGAAGGAGCGGGTGTCCCTGTTGCAAGTACAGCCTGTCGTCAGCTTCCCTCTAATTCATGGTTTTGGATTAGTGGTTTGGTGGTTGAGGGTGTGTACAAGAACCAGAAGTTATCCTCAAACCACCAATCCAAACAATCAAACAAAAAGGTACCTGATACCATGCGCCACACGTTTGGCTTGCGAGCCCATCTTACTTTCTCACGCATGGCTCGCACCAGCCGCAATGCATTCACCTTCCCCGACCAATCCCTGCGGCGGAGCCGAGTTTCTCCAGGTTGTGAACCCTTCCATGGCTCGGTGTTTGAGGAATCGGACCCCTCCAAAATGGCGTCGGAGTCCTTGCGGTTTCCCTTCAACACCCCAAAAACAACAGGTGATCTCAGACACTGGGCTGCTCCCGGCCCCGAAGGGTCTAACATTTTGTAGGTTTCAGAAGGAGAAGCTGTTGCTGCTTCGGCGGTTTGGTCGAAGACCGACAGTTCTGCGCAGAGGTACCCTTCTCATGTCGCTTTGAAGAGAAACCACACAGAAAGCAGCCATTTGTAATAGTTAAGGGGTCCAAATATCTGTTTTCACGCAGTACTCATTGTTTACGTTGGTTTGACACATGTGAACATATTTCAGTTTCAAGGGTGGATGCGCAAACCAAGTAGCAAGGTAGTTTATAACCATGATAATTACAAAATAATCACTCCATTTACCCCAGTTATAAAGTGAAAACCATGGTCAGAACCTACTTGACTGGATTGAACACAGAACCCCCAAACCAAGTGGAGCAACCGGAGCCAACCGGAGCTGCCGGGGGGCGGTGGGGCGGTCGGACCTCGGCGTCCTCGCCGCAGGCCTTGCACTCCCCGGCGCCCGCGAGGTCGCTGCCTCGCGGATCAATCTTCTCGATGCGCGGAATGGCTCTGGCCGGGTTCTGAGGGGGGGGTGTTTTGGGTAGGAAAGAAGAACTTCTTGGTGGCTTCCCCGGGTAAAACGGAAAACCTCGCTGGGTTGTTGAGGTTTTTGGTCGTTTCCCCAGGTCGACGGATTTCGCGGGTGGCGACCCATGCAGCCAATTGGGTCCAAAACATGTGGCTTCCGTGGTAGGAACTGAGTGGGATGTGTTGCCAACTTGAGCTTGTGAAATATTGGGCGGTCCCTTGCAAGACAGGAAATGAGTACTTATGCAACTTGGTTTGATGAGTAGATGAAACCCTAGTGAGCTATTTTGAAAAACACGCAGCTTATGATGGTTCTCAGATTCCTGGAATGAGTTGGAATGAACACCTCTCCTAAGAAAAAGGTGAGGAGGACAAGGTCTTGATGGAAGGGGGGCATTGGCGTGAAACAACTACAATGGCATATAAACGTGTGACCATTGTATTCTAACCATGGATTGCTTGCTTTCAAAAAGACGACTCCCAACTTGGCAACTCTGAAATGGACTCCTTACCCCAGTTTCACGCCCGCTTGTTTGTTGGCCTTGGGGTAGAACCACTTCCTTGGCAATGAACATAATTTGGGCAGACAATTCACAACTGAATTGGAACTAATGGATGCCTCGTCGCGCGGCCGGAGCTTGCTTTTTTGCAAGGTATCGGGAAGCTGGCAAAATCACCTGCCGCGAAAAATCCCAAAATACAAGCCCCCCCTGCTCACATTCAAGTGGGGTTGATTGCTGTTTGTTGCTATGAGGGCGTTGGAACCATCACGGTGCTTGTGATCGTACCGCCACGCGAAGTCACAGCCTCCAGCGCCGAAATGCTCGAAGAGCTGGGTCCAGTCTACAGCCACCTGAGTGAGATCCGCTTGGTCGATGTGAGTCACTTGCTCAAAACCTGGTAGCAAAATGGTCGTAATCCCAGAACCATGCTTCAAGAACTAAGAAGCCGGATATCCGCAGCAATTTATGGCAAGGGGATTGTTCCTTACTAACCTTCATCTACCCGGGCTTTGGTTGTGGATTGATGTTGGGAGTGTTCAGTGCGTGGCGGTGCCACCTCTTAAAAACCATCCTTTCTGCTCCTGGTCGTGACTGGAATAAAAAGCTGGTAACGTTTAGCTCATGATCACCCTTTCTGCTCATTCTCGTGATTGGACAAGTGGTTGATATATTTAAAGCTTAGCCATTTCCAGCGCCAAAGGGGTCAAAGCGCACGAAAATCCGACGTCCAAACAAAACCTGCGTGGCCTCCCGGGACGGAGGGTTGAACACTTTCCGGGTGGCTTGGATCTGGGCATGCCGAACCGTCCAAACCCCAAGGATATGGTGGATTCCCTTCAAGCCGAACCGGAAAATTGGATACAGAGCCTCAAATTGCAGCGCTGGATCCCATTCTCAAGCTTCAGCCCGTTAACAACGCACTGAGGGCAACGAGGTTCTACTGGATGTTCAACCAAGTTAGTCAGCGGGTTATAACCATGGGTATAAGGGGACTAAACCCAGCTGCAACAGAACCGACTTACCTGACGTGGGTGAATATCCAAGCATTTCACCCTGAAATCCGGGCAAACGACTCAAAGCTTCGATTCCGGCAAACAAGTTGCTTACTCTGGAACAGAAACAGGTACACCTTTGCTGGGTCATGGCAAAGGCCCTGGTGAATGAACGGAAACTAGGTCCTCCAGTAGAGAGGTTAGAATAAGGGTACCTGACTTTTTTTCTGTAGTCTATCTTAGTAGGGGAACCCTCCCCCCAAAAAAAGGGAGAGAAGGGCACTACTCGGGGACCTAGGAAACAAAAAAAGGAGCAAGCTACCGGGGGGTCGCCAGCAAATAAATAGCAAAAGGGCTCCACCTGAGTCATAATCAAAACCTGGCCACACGAGGTGAAGAATCAAAGGAGAGATTGTCATTGTCGCCTTCTCGCCCCTTGTATTGAAGGAGTTATTCCCTGTCCTACTGCGGATGGACATTTTCCACTTTGTACCAGGATTGGTGGTGTATCCCTCTCCGAAATACCAGTTTATGGGCCGGTCAGCCTGTTCCATCCTGTCAAGCAGTTCCCTGTCCAAATTTTTTTTTAGGTTGACTTGGTTGACGTTGGAAGGGGAGCAAAAACAATAAGAGTTAGCAGTTGAGTGGTTGGATTTCAACCACTAAACCACAATAAGCAAAAATGGGAAACATGTTTCCCAACAACAACCATGTTGAGCGCCTTCATACCATAGGCGACCTTTTGCAAAAAAACGATTGCAATGACGAACCCAGGGAGGAGACTCATGCTTCTTACAGGGTCTCCTTTCTTTTACACCAAAAACAGCAGCGTTTGATCCATCTGTTTACCAGGGCAACCCATGTTGGGGGTACCCTATTTTTGACCCACGGCCAAGTTGCCCGGCCTCTTCGGCTTCCCCCCATGTCCCTTGCCTGCCACCAGCCCCCACTGCATGTTAGTCTGGGGAGTGCCTTGCTGATCTGTGTAGCGAGGCCTCCGCAAGGCCTCCGCAAGGCCTCCTCCCCTTTTTTCTTTTCGAAGCAGAAGGGGCGTCTTGGAAGTCAGCAAAAAGCGAATTTCCCTGGAGCTTCCCCGGGAAATCACCGGGGTGCCAAAGCGAGCCTTGGAGTGTTCCAACGAAACCACAAAACTCCCCCTGGAGCTTCTCCCAAGGCACCCCGGCCACCCCCACCGCCGCCAGCGTGCGCCGCAACGCCCGCAACAATGGCAGCACCGCCTCGAAGGCTCGACGACCCGATCGACGCGATCGAACGCCCGGGCGAGAGAAAAAACAAACGGTAAACCCGGCAGAACCCGGTAAAGCCCGGGCAAAACCCGGTACACTCCGTGAGAAACAAGGGGAAAACCCCGGTTTTGCCCGGTAAAACGCCTGAGAAATCCAGGGAACGCGGGCATGGGAGTAGAATTTGAACCAAGACGTGCATGTTGGAAAAACAAATGACAGGAAGACCAAAAAAGACAACGAACCGCTAGAAACCTGGAATGCCCCCACCCCCCCAAAGAGGTTGATCAAGGTGACATTGAAACGCAAAATGCCAAACCATTTGTTCAAACAATTGGCACACATGTTTACAACAACATCAAAAGCTTTCGGAGCGACCCAAGTTTATGTTGCACCGGACCTCCACGGGAACTAGGAGCTCCATGATCTCGCACTCCTGGCACGTAGGAATCACGCGCCGGTGGTTCTTTCCCCAGGGGCCCAGATCTATGGGCTATGGGGGTCTCCAAACAAGATAGGAACCCCCCAAACAAGTGGCATGCCGTTTGGGGTCCCTTTGCAACCAACCAAAGAAGGGTAAAGGGTACCCTGAAAAAGACACAAACACACACACACAGACACACAGACACACAGACACACAGACACACAGACACACACACACAACACACACACACAGACACACAGACACACAGACACACAGACACACAGACACACAGACACACAGACACACAGACACACAGACACACAGACACACAGACACACAGACACACAGACACACAGACACACAGACACACAGACACACAACACACACACACACACACACACACACAGACACACAGACACACAGACACACAGACACACAGACACACAGACACACAGACACACAGACACACAGACACACAGACACACAGACACACAGACACACAGACACACAGACACACAGACAC